GACTTATGGGTAATTATTGCATTTAATATAACATTATAGAAAAGTATTCAAAATGAAAAGCAAGTTTGATAATTAGTATTACGCTGTAAAATGCATCAAGAAACAAAATGAAAAGGAAGGAGTATGAATTCAATATAATTTTAGTTTCCAATAACTTCTTTAAGAGAAATAAAATTTTTAACCTCCCTTGATCAAGAGAATGTAATAAAAATAAAGTAGATTTATACAAGAGTGAAAAAAAACAAGAACAAATTAAAAACAATAAAAACATATTGTGCTATGGATTTAATGGCAAATGATTTTTGGAAAATATTGTATAGAAATGAATAACAAAAGTTTTATTTTTCAACAAATCAAATTCGTAGCATTCTTTTTTAATGCTTTAAGGGTCTTCAATACATTCATTCTTAAAAGATTATCCATAGGGATATAAAAAGTGCGAATATTTTGGTTAATGAGGAAGGAATAGTCAAGATAGCAGATTTTGGATTGGCGAAGTTTTGTCCCAAAATAGAAGGAGTCAAGAAAACCCCCACAGTTGTCACTTTAGGTTATAGAGCACCTGAAGTCTTATTAACAAGAGGATAATACTCCTTTTAATTAGATGTTTGGAGTATGGGGTGCTTTGCAGTCGAATTAAATTTCAATAGACCATTATTTAAAGCCAAAGACGAGGCTTAGTAGATTTAATAGATTTTTGAAAAATGTGGCACACCCACACCTGAATCTTGGCCGGAAATTATGAAATCGGATTACTTTATAAAATTACACCCTTAAAAATATGATAGGAAATTTATCTCCTCAATAAGAAATATGAACATGGCATTTGATGATGAACTGTTAGATTTACTTGATAAGATATTTGTTTTGAATCCAAATGTTAGGTTAACTGTTGAATAAGTGCTCTAACATCCTTTCTTTACAAATCATGATTTAGAAGAATGTTTTCACCAATTCAAAGAATTCATTTTGAAAAAAAATGTAACTTAAGAAAAGATTGTAAAGACCGTTTATAAGCCTATATAAGAAGAAATAAAGTTTGTTATATGATCATTTTATGTGGTATTATATATCATGATTAAATCAATACTTTCTACTCCAAGGTTTATCATCAGGTATTTCTGGTTTAGGTGCAAATTGATTGGCTTTTGCTTATGGATTCTATTCGAAGTATTTCTTGGCTTCCTCATATATTTGATAATCTTCTGAGTATTTCTACATATCTAGGGAATCAATTGATTTCTTTACTTTCTGAAAATTGGCTTAAATCTTATTCATATTAATCCTATTGACTTTTCAAGTTTTCAGAATCCATGAACATAGGTGGTTGCTATTTCATAAACACTCTCTATTCAATAAATTCTTCATCCTCATATTCTAGTGGGAAATTCAATTCAGCTATTTTCTACAAGGCTTCTTCTTCATTTCCCCTTTATTACTTATATAATCTTTCATCAGTGTCGATAACAATCTAATTCGATAGGATGGGTCATCATACTTGTCTGAAATTCTTTGATGTCTCTTCCCCATGTACTTAGGCTAATTCTAATAATTCTTATTTATATTCTCTCAAAATCTATAATTCTTAAGGAGTGATATCCCTTAAATATTTAGCAGGAGATCCTGCCCATACTTCTCCTTGTTTGACTTCTGTGCCTTCTGGAACAAGAGAACCTGCTGCAACAATACCTTAAACGATTGCACCTTCTCTAATTGTTGATCCCATTCCAATAAATGCATCATCACCTATTGTACATCCTTGCAAATTGGAATTTGGACCAATTAAAGAGTTGTTGCCGACTGTTATTGTTTTGGTTGCTTTTATGTAAACATTATCCTAAATTAACGAATTCTTTCCCACTGTTATTGAATTATTATCTGCTCTTAATGTTGCCCCATACCAAATTGATGAGCTATCAAATCAATTTCTTAACCTTACTTTTGTTTTAAAATTACATTTCCAATCATTACTGAATTTGGGGCTGTAAATAAAGCATCTCCAATCTAGGGACTATGTCCTTTAGCTTCCACTTATCTCAAGCATTACACTAAACGATCATCGCTTGCTTCACTTCCCAACATGTCATTCCCCTGAGTTAACAAGCTCTTTCCTAATCTCCTGTAGTATGGGCCAACGGCATTAAGAACAAAAGAATCAAATAATTGGAGAATCTTAACTTTGAACATAATTATTATGTAATTTTAATCAATTCTAATTAGGAAAGAGAGGAATTAAACTATCCATTTAAAAAATCAATAGGCATAAGGCCACTTTTAATTACCATTTTAATCTTAGTTGAATATTGACTCAATCACTCCAAAGAAGTATTTTCTTTCTAAGCAATTACATTCTTTTTTATTCATCAGTAAAAGAAGAATTTCCAAACATTTTAATATCAAAATTAATCTATTCAAGAAATTTGGGGACCAAAATTGTTTTCATAATTTTCATATAATTATATAAAATTGAATCTTACAAATGATATATATCATCTATTTATTCAGTGTGTGACTGTATAGAATTTCTAGAAAATCTTAAGACTAAATATTTCCATTAAATATAAATATCGATTAGAACAAAAAACTTTTATAGAAATCTAGTGGAACCTTTTGGTCTTAAGATATTTGAATAAAATTAAATTGTTTCATTTCAGATAGAATGTAATTTACTAGTTTTAAAATAGAATTATTTAACTCTTTCAATTTTATTTAAGTTGCTGTATTTACAAAATAGTAATTCCACAATAATTATGAATGCTAAATTTAATAAATAGAATTTTAACTTAAAGCTTTGATATAAGAAATAAATTAAATCAAAATCTTTATAATAACAAATAAACAGCCTGATTTAAAGATTAAAAATTGTTTTATTTATAATTAAAAAAGCAAGATTGACAAATAACATATCCATTTGTTCTTCAGTTTGACTAGGTTCAGTTATCATCACCCTTGATAAGTAAGTTTAATTGGAATTATTTTATAAATAAAAATTAAATAATTAAATGCTTCCAAAAATATAAGGATAAGCAGTTGGAAGAAAAGAGAATTTGGCTTCTCAACAGATAGTAGAAGATCATCTAAAGAATATACTGAAAAAGCAAGAAAATTAAGTAAAACAGTTATTGAATTATATTCAGAATTATAAAGCATGGAAAACACCATATGCTCCAAAGAATCCTCATTCACCATTTGGAGATTTTCCAAAGGAATATTTGCCAAAAGAAAAGGCTAATTAATAAAAAGTAATTGAACCTGTTCATGAGACTTCATAAAATGCATTAATAACAAGTAAAGAAGTTGTTGAGAATGATTAGATAAATATTAAGGAACTCATTAAGGAACAGGAGGAAGAACAAGCTCATAATTATAGAAGAAAGAAGAATATAGGCCTGCACCACCAAAAGCAGGAGCATATGATTAAAGAACAATATCAGTTTCAGATTTCAGGAGATATTATGATCGAGGAGATTTGCCTATTAAAGTTCTAAATTTGAAAATATCAATAGGTTGATCATTAAGGAAGTGTAAATAGAATTATATGGAAAATATCTCCAGAATAATTGGATTATCATCATTATTTGCCAATCTTTTTCGATGGATTAAGAGTATTTTGATAATTTAAAATAAGGAAAAAATGGATCCTTACAGATTCTTGGCCATATTAGGAACATATGGATTACTAGAAAATGGAGGAAATAAAATATTGCCAGTCATTCCATAATTGATTATTCCAATCAAAAGTAATTTAAAGTCATACAATAATAGCAAATTTGAATACTAGAGATCCAAGTATAATGGAAGTTCAATTAAAGGTATTACAAAAATTAGTGTTGAGTGGAGAAATGGTTGGGGAGGCATTAGGTAAATACTTAGATCCCATTATTAGTACCTTACTATAGACAACTATTGCCTATTATGAATTTATATAAGAACAGAAATTCGAACTTAGGAGATTTTATTGAGTACAACCAAAGAAAACGAGTTAATGTTGGTGACTTGATTTAAGAAACACTAGAATTATTTGAATAAACAGGAGGAGAAGTAAGAAATTTAGTTGATAATTTAATAGGATGCCTATATAAATATTAAATACATGATCCCAACTTATGAAAGTTGCATTTTAAATTGATTTAGAATAATAATAAATATATATTAGTGATTAAACAAATTATTACCTGTTTTTAATTTAAACCAAATCAAAACCATAATGTTTATAATTTATTTATAAAATCAGTAATAAATACTGTTATCTAGACAATTTTTGCTAACCAAAAATCAATTAGCTGATAATAATATACTAATGTTAACCTCAATATGAATTGTAAAATAAAAAATATTATCCTTTACTTATTGTATCTGATAAAATTTTACCTATTTATATTAAGAATAAATTTATAATATGTAATTACATTTAGATTAGCAGATTATAATCTTCTTCCTCTTTATTTAATATCATCTCCTTTGAACTTCTTATATGAACAATTATTTTTATTTATCAATATTTAATATATATAATAAAAGATTTAATCAATATTTTCTAAGATTAATATTAGATTTTTAAGTTTTTGAACCATTTCTTCTTAAACCTGATTTCATATTAAAGCTTGAACAAGATAATTAAGCACTTAATTTCAAATTCATTAATATTTCATATCCTTTCTTTGAGTTTCGTAGTTTAATTACGAATGTTAATTGAAGAGATTTTAGAGAATAAATATTAAATAAACTTCATATAAAACAAAGTAATAGGTAGCCTTTGAGTCTATAATTTGGTAAATATTTCTAAGCTAGTAATAGAGCACATGTTAATATCGGAAATATTAAAAATAATATATAACTAGAAATGAATTTAATAGTCATTCATCGTTCTAATTAAAAATGATTAAATCATACAAAAATTATCATTTCTTTAATGAATTCAATATTCAAAATTTTTAACAAAAAAATTAGTCATTTAGTTCGTTCATATTAGATTTAGTTTATAAAATATTAAATTTTCAATGGGTACAACTTGTTCCACTGAAAAATTTAAGATTTCCCCAACTGCATCTACTTGTGAACTATTAAGTTGTGAGCATCCTCTCATCTTGGTGGCTCATTAATGCAATTAAAATATTGATTTAATAGGAGAGTTAGAGACCGCACCGATTCCAGTGTAAAATTATTGCAAGAAACTTAAAGATTCTAGTTAAGTACTCAAACCGGCATTGGAAAGGTTGGAGAATGAGGAACAAAATTTTCTTAAGATCTGGAACTTGATTGTTTCAATATTAAAGAATGTTTCATCTCTCATAAAAGCTGCCTTGTAGGACCCTTTATTTATTGAATATCTTCCGATTATCTCTTATAACCTTGAAGAATAGTAAAAAGATTTAGAGATGCTGATTAACCAAAAGAGAGGATAATAATAGATCAAAAGAGCATAATCTCACATAATATAGAGCAAAGTTATAAGAATAAGCAAGAGACATTAAACTGATAAGATTTGAATATTTACATAATCAATATATCCTCAATAATCATTTTTATGATTAATTTAGATTTGTTTAATTTTTTTTTGGTTGATAAAATCTCAAAGCACCTGAATTTATTGAATATCTTAAGAATGTTGGAGGTGGTCCGTCCTATGAAATTTATCCTATATAGGATTAACAATTCATGCATTGCAAAGCTGAATACCTCTGTATTGTAATAATATTACATATTTTGCTTTAGTTTCAATAGTTTTCACACTATTTTTGTGATGCTAGTAAAATGATGCATAACCTGTTTATGCTTAAAATTTGTGATCACTTTAAAACAATGTATTTTTGCAATGAAAACATTAGTAAACCCCTTATTGATCGTGCTTGTTTATTTGAGAAAATGTACATTCCAAAATTCTCCAGAAAAAGGTCTTTCCATTCCTTTTGCAACCGCTATCCAATAACGATGAGGATCCATGGACAATCTATCAAGTCTGATTTCTACTTGTTGTTTAGGTTTGATTAGATTTCTATTTAAGGCTTCAAGAATTTTAGAGCATTAAAATTTAACTTTCATTGTTTTTAATTTAACACATATAAAAATCAAAAATTGAATTATCAAAACCTTCAAGTTTATGAACATCAAATTTAAGAATACTAAAGTACATCAAAAACTGGTAGGGTTAATGACTTGATATATTTAGAATACATTATTTGAATTAATATCATAAACTTGAATATACATATAATAAAATTAATGTAAAAACAAAAATACAAGGATTCAAAAAGTTCCAGATATTTATATCAAATTTGGTAAACTGAGAATAAAATTCTGTGCAACGGGAAAATATTCACAGGGTATTAACAAAATTAATCGTAGATCTGAAAATCATAAATTAATAGCAAGTGTTAGTTTTATAACAATTCCTTCAATACTATTTTATATATTTATGTCTCCTGTAAACGATATCAAAATATTAGGAATTTGCAAAAACAGGATAGAATGGTTATACAGTTGTATTTGTGTTGATCTAAATAACTATATATGTATTTCTATCGATTACAGTTTGTATGGATCCCGGAATCATACCAAAGATAGTAATAATTTTAGAGATAAAAGAGACCTGAATATGAAATGAATGAGGAACTACTGGAAGTGCCTTAGAAATATTCAAAAGTCGATTACAGATTTATCATGGACTCAAAAATGTTTACAATAAAAGCTCACTAATTTAAATTAAAGTATTGTGCAACTTGTAAACCATACATATGAAATTAGGTGCTATCTATAGACCAGCTCGAGCTTCTCATTGTCCTTCTTGCGATAATTGCGTTGTTAGATTTGATCATCATTGTCCTTGGATTGGATAATGTATTGGAAGAAGGAACTACATCTATTTTTATTTTTTCATCATGTCTGTATCCTTTAAACTGATTTTTGTCTTTGGTGTGTGTCTCTCATATATTGTTGATGAATCTAAGAAGAGATCAGCAACTATGGAAACATCAGATGCCATTTCAGAAACCCTGGCTTATAATCCTGTAAGCATAATACTTGTTATTTATTCTTTTGGAGTAATACTCAACATTTACAATTATAGTTTTCGTGCTTTGTTGTGGGTTTGTGGCTATTTCATACTTATTTAGTATTCACTAATATGACAACGAATGAGTATTTGAAGAAACATTGGATAGTTGAGAGTAAGAATCCATTCAGAAGGTTCTTTTTTATAAATTCATAATTAGGCAAAATATTTTGAAAAACATTGTTAATGTTCTTACTTGCATAACTTAACTGAAATTTTTAGAATTAAAGTAATGTGTCTATGAGCCTAAAGAATAAATGCACGTAATTATGAATTCTTATATATAATAAGAGTCCAATTAATACATAGAACCATTTAAATGAAGGAAACGACTCCTCAAAATATAGAGAAGAAGATAAGATTTAAGTTGAATATAGAGGAAAATAAATGCAATAATAAAAAATTCAAATCATTTCAGAAATACAATCTTGATTAATATTATTAATTCAATATAGTAATTTTATCTCTATAAATACCTCATAATTTTAATTCTTAATCATTATTCATTATGATATTATTAATAGGTTTATGCAGAATTCTCTAATTATTCAATTTACTATAAAGTAAATAATAAAATTAACCATAGGAAGAATATTACTATTTCAAGTAGAATTGATATCATTATTATTGAATATCAGTAATATGATTTTTTTCACTAAAAATAATCCAATTTATGAGTTTTCTAGTGTAATTTTAGAAATATCAAACCTAATTATTTATTTAGTTCTCGAATCATTCTAATTTATATGTTTGTTTTAAGATGGCTTTTAATGTTTCACATATAAAACAACCTCATAAATACTTTAAATTTACTTATGCTTTATTAAAATTGACATAAATTAAATAATCGATTATTTCTTTTTATTACTAAACTATTTTAATTTGCAATTAAGAATAGTCTACAATTAAGGGTAATATATTTTGGTATCGATCTCCTTAAACCCTTTTCATAATTATTTGAAGCAATCCTTGTTATTAATTTTTAGATATCATGACCTCATAATTTAGCTAAAATACCATTTGATTTTTATGTAATCCTTCTTAGCCTGTTTAGAAATATAACATTAAGTGTATTATGCATATATACTAAATAATATTTTGAACATTTTTCAATCAATAGTCCCAATTTAATTAAATGCTGTTTTAGAAATAATTTAGAAATCAAATACAATTTTGATTATTACTACAATTAAGCTATTGAATTTCAAAGAATAGTTCTTTACTTTTAGTAAGAATTGTAGGATTTGATTTCTTTTTTTTAGATTAATTTATAGAGTTACTATTCATTTTATATTTATTTATAATATAACTGCTTGACGATAAAACAGCTTTCATAAAATGTATTTTGATGTAATCAATTTTACAAAGTCTTCATATCTGATTTCCAAATCTTTATCTGGATTTGCTTCTTTAATTAATTAATTTGCTTCTTCTTCAGTCAATCTTTCCCCCATGGATTTGACCATATGTCTCAATTCATTAGCGTTTATTGTTCCTTTATTAGACTTATCCAATATTCTGAATGCATCCATTAATTCCTCTTCTGGATCCACATCTCTATGTTTTCTTGCCATCAAACTGAGAAACTCAGGAAAGTCAACCATTCCTGTAGAATCAGGATCCACATCGTTTTTCATTTCGCTTATTTCTGCCTCTGTTGGGTTTTAATTCAATGACCGAATTAATAATCCCAAGTCATCTACCTTTGAAAATATAATTCAAGTGTATTTACTTTTATTTTATTATCACCATCTTTATCGAAGAGAGAGAAAGCTTCTTTGTAGTTGGCAATTTAATCTTCTGTTAATTATTGGTCCATTAATTTAAATAATATAATGCTAAAATCGTGGGATTCATTTATGACAGCAGCCTTGGATCTACTTATGGAATCACCTTAAGCTAGAGCAAAAGTTAAATACTATAAAATCAAGCAAGTAGCCTTACTCACAGTCACAGATGATAAAAAGCATTGCATCTTCAAATCAAGAAACGTGGATGAGATTGAGCAGTTCATAAAGTTGACAAGCAAACTCATGTTGAATGTTGATCCAACTGAGGTAAAAGAGGATCCTCAAGAGGCGAAAACAGATAAAAAATAAGCCAAGAAAAAGGGAAAGGGAAATAAGAAATGAGTTTTATACATCTATATTAATTATTTTTAATTTTCTTTGTTATTCATATATATCAATAGAAGGACGATCTAAATTGTTGTGATTATATTCCTTCATAGACTCCTAATGTCAAATACGAATTAGATAGAAGGTTTTTCAATTAGCTGTTATCATAGTGATTGATTTTATCAATTAAATCATCCTTGTTCCAAGATTGTGTATTTGCCTTAAATTTTAACAACAATTGATGATTTTCAATTATGCTACTAATAATAATATAAAGGTGAACAAATATAAATTAATTTATTTTAGTGTTTTTATTTAATTTATTTTAGTGATTTAAATTTTTTATATTAAAATAATTAGTAGGAATTAAAGAATTCCAAAATTCAGAATTTATCAATTCTAGTAATATAAAGCTTTAGGAATAATTCTGAATGCCATTAATAAATTTAGTTGAATGACAGATAAACTTTAAACAATAGGTAATATAGTCTTAGATTGTAGTAAACCGAGAAGAACAGTTAGTAAGCACAGATAATAGAGCTGAATTTTCTTTAGGAAAATTTACACCAATTGAATTAGCTTGGGATAAACTTATAATAAATGCCACCATCAAAGTCGGAAAGGTAATTCCCATTCATAAATATAAGACTACGACAGAGAAATGCTTACTTAACAATCTTAAAGGAGTGATGAAGCCTGCTCATTTCACTGCTATTTTAGGACCATCAGGATCAGGAAAAACTACCTTATTAAACTTTTTGTCAGGCCGTCTAATATCTGACAATCTTAAAATATCTGGAGAACTATCCTTAAATGGAAAGAGAATTAATGACATTGACAAATTCAATGATCAGATGGCCTATGTCATGCAAGATGATATATTATTAGCCACCTTCTCACCCAGAGGTATATCATGGTCTAATTGTTTTAGAGGCCTTTTATTTCTCCGCCAATATGAGACTGACCATAAGTGCAGAGGAAAAAGCTCAGAGAGTAGAAGCTTTGATTAGAGAATTGGGAATCACCAAATGTGCAGACACCAGAGTGGGAAATACATAGATCAGAGGAGTATCAGGAGGTGAAAGAAAGAGGGCAAGTATAGGAGTTGAATTATTAACAAATCCAAGTCTCATCTTTTTGGATGAGCCTACCACTGGTTTGGATTCATCAACTGCCTTATAAGTGATTGACCTACTCAAGAGATTGGCCAAAAATGGTCGTACAATAGTAAGTACCATCCATCAACCTTCATCCGAAATCTTTAATAATTTTGATAGACTTATGCTTTTAGTTAGAGGAAACATCATCTACCAAGGAGATGCAGAATAAGCTATCGACTATTTTGCTGCCATGGGATATTAATGTCCTAACTTCTCTAATCCTTCAGATTACTTTATGAAATTGATGAATGAGGAAGGACTACTAGTTGAAAAGATATAAGCAGGAGAGTCTGATGATTTCGATGATGCTTAAATAAAAGCTGAATTTGAAAAGAGATTAGAAGGGTTCATTCAAAATTACCAGACTTCAAACATGATTAAAGAATTAGAAACTCATGAAACTGCTTTGATTAAAGAAAATGATACTGGATTTCACATTGGATTCATCTAATAATTTGTACTTATTTATTAAAGATCATTTTTGAATGAAATCAGAAATCCAATGGATGTAAAATTGAAAATATTTTAATCTATTGTGAATGCCATTATGTTAATGCTTGTTTATTCAGATGTACATTTTATAAATTATATTTTTAGTTGGGTGAATATAATGAAGGATTGTAAAATAGATTTGGAGCCTTGTTCTTTATTTGTACAGCTAATGCATTTGGAGGAATTCAAGGAGCTTTACATACATTTTCAATGGAAAGACCCTTGTTTTTAAGAGAGAGAATAAACAAAACCTATAGTGTTCATTCATTCTTTTGGGCAAGATCACTGGCTGAATTTCCATTCCAAATAGTTTACCCTTCCCTTTGTGTTATAATAGTCTACTATGTTATTGGATTAAGTGATGAAAATGTAGGCAAATTCTTCATGCTTATTTTCATCTAATTCTTAACATATTAATACGCTGTTTCATATGGATTGCTTTTATCAACTGTTATTCCAAAAATTGAAGTGGCTACAGCACTAGTCCCTGCTTTGGTTATTCCATTTATGATTTTGGGAGGATTCTTTGTTAATCAAGACAATATCCCTTACATATTCTACCCTTTCACCTATTTATCAATGTTCAAGTATGGATTTGAGGCAGCAGTCATTGTATAATCTTTAATTTTATTTTTAGAATGAATTTGATGACGTTATTTACGAATGTATGCCAGGTTAACAATGCTCACCAGTTGATATGTTGTCTATCACTTTGACAAAATGGGAATGCTGCTATATATTAATAGGATTGGCCATAGGAATCAGAATGTTTGCCTATTTAGCACTTCATTTAATTTCTAGTCCAGAAAAACCAAAATTATAACCCCCTGAGAGCATGTAAATAAAGAACAATTAAAAATGACACTCTATATTTTATTTATTGTTAAATAAGTTATAAAATTAATTAAACAGTTTTTTTCTAACCATAAATCCTTAACTTTAGATTTTTTATTGAAATTTCTTCGAAAATACAAAGGTATTATTAATATAGCAGAATTGGAACTTAGTGCTAGAATTTGAAAGATGCTATATTACTATATATATTGTTATAAATACTAGGTTAATAAATTCCATTATACAGGAAAGCTAAAATTATTACAGTTATTTTATTTATTAAATTAAAATTTTTTTGAAATTCACAAGTACAAAACAAAACAAATACCTCTTGTAAAAGATTTGAATTTATATGATTTAAAAGATTTTATGTTTAAAAATACTTAACGAAATTGATTCTTTTTTTTAATTGTCATTCCTGATATACAATTTATAATTATAAATAAGGAAATACATACTTGGGCTTAAGATTTGTTTTTTTAAGGAATGAATTATTTGATACAACATGATCCTTGTCTTAAATATTAATTTCTTCTATGAATAATATGTGAATCTCAAAGGGCTTATCAACATTTATACAGATTAAAGCTATAGTAACTAATAATACTGATGCAATTTGATTAAAATGATTAGATAAATAGTTGAATAAATTAAATTGATAAATGATTAATAATTGTATCATATCATTAAAAAATGAATAAGAAAATAAATTAAATTTGATAAATTCCAAAGATGGCCTCTCTATAACTATTCTTCACCTATAAGCCTATATTATTAATATGAACAGTTAATTTAAATTTCTCTTCGTAATGAACTGACATTCTTGATAATAATTATATAATAAAGTGATATTCTTCTAAGAAAAATAAATCAAGTTGATATAATACCATGATTAGATGAGACAAAATGCAGATTAGTTCTATAAATTCTTATAATTACTTAGATTGCTTTATTTATATAATTAAAATTAATTATGTAACCTTCAGTGACTTACTTTGAACTTTAAACTCTCATTTTCTTGATCATAATTGGAATGATTTTGATTTCTTTGAATTACTTTTAAGATCCAAAACAAAAGGAATCGAAAGTATATTTTGATCAATCATTAGAAAGTTAAAAATTTGGAATCGAATGATCATGAATTACGAAGACATTTAACTAACTATTGACGAAGAATAACTTTTAAAATAAACATTTAAGAACACTCTTAGAAATCGTAAAGTAGCAATCAGCCCTTCCATTCCACGATAAATAAAAACTACAAAGAAAGTCAGCTTTAAAAATTAGGATAACTTACTTTGAAAATATCAATTATTGATTATTTTAAATTAGAGTATATAGATGTTATCTTCATTTTTTAGTAATAAACCATATATGTATATTTTCAAGTAAACATCCATAATTTTTCACAATAGGATCTATAAAATATTATAAGTTTACCAGCGATATCGAATAACATCATAAATATAGCCTCATTAGTTAATTCCAATTGATATTTTGTAAGTTTTAAGAAACAAGACAGTCAATTTTTCAACAATAATTGAAATTATTTTATTTTAAATGAGCTTCTAAAAAATATACTTAAATAAGACTTTTTCATTTGAATCATTAAGAATTAATTCGGAATTTACATATATTAAATTTATCCATATTAGACTTGAGATTAAGTACAATTAATAATATTTAAAGGATTAAATATATTTTAAGATAATAATTTTTTAATAGAAGGCTTATACAAAAAGATTAAAACAGAAATATAATTATTTTGAAAAATCAATTTTAATTAAGACATATCTTCATTATCCTAATTTTTAGAAAAAATAATAAATAAATTAAGATTGAATCAATGTTTTGTATGAAGAAAATAAGTAAGATGCTTAAGTTCATCATTCTATAGTGAGAGAGGATCATATAAAAATTAAAATAAATTGGTTCAAGAAAATGATTATGCCTTGTTTCTGAATCACTCAAAATTTAAACACTTTGAATAAAGTAAAACTAATTCAATAGATGAAAATGCTTATATAAATTAATTTATAAGTATGAATAATTATGATAATATAAAGAAGTAATAATCAATATTTATTTTATTGTTTATACTAAAGGAAGCCTAAATTATATAATAGTTTTACTTATTCCAGGCCTTATTGACAATTTTTAGACATTTGTTATTTTGATTGGCAAATCATCCTTTACTTTTAAAAATTCAGTAAAGCTTGCTGTTCTTTATTTTAAACTTTCGTTAGATCTAATACTCTCAAGAATTCTGTTAGTTTATTCTGTGCTTTGTTATATTGATATAGATTATTTTTAAAAAGAAGAGGCTTATTATTAAGTTAAACTAGATTTTTATAGTAATTATTAGATCGATCTTTAATCATATTAAGATTAATTTGAATACAGAGACTTTTATTCTAGCTCTTATTCAAAAGTTAAAATTTATTACTTACCTAAAAGCGAGGTAGGAGATTATACACATTCTTCTTGACTATTATTTACTTCTTAGAAAGTAATTAATTTTGTCTGACATAAAGCGATACTCTCTCTTTAACTTCCCATAATAGCAAAATCGCTTATATGGTTTAGATCATTCATCTGAACTGATTTTTTTGTTTCTATTACAAAACTAGGCTCTCTACTTAACTTTCGGAGACTTTAAAAGTTTTACATCAACTAGTCATATCTATTAGACTTATTAGAGAAAGCTGAAGGAGGAGGCACCTACTCAATAAGCTCCTATTATTTAACTACTTCTTAGTCATCATTGCTATATCTTTTGGCTGATGATACCTTTCCTTAACTATTATCTAATTGGACATATTTAACAGTTTCTTTCATAACTTATTATTCACTAAACAATTGTGGTTCCACTTGCGTTGGTGATTTTATAAAGGATTCCAATTAAGAAGGGCCAAATGTTGTTCTACAATCGTTTGCTTATATTATTTCTAATTATAGATTAATTGGATTTTGTTCCATGCTGCTTTCAAAAGAGACATTAATTTTCTTATTTTAATTAGCCGATACTTCGACTGGTATTATGGATGATAAATTGCTGATTGTGAATTGAGATTTAGCGTAGATATCTTCAATACTCTCATTCTATTACTTACGCATTTGATTATAAAAACTACTTAAATTTGATTTGCTATTCAAAACTGACAACTATTACTATCTTAAAGCCTCTTATTACTATTTTATAATTTCCAACTGTTGCTATAAAATCAAAGACTATTATTCTAAAAATTGTTATTTGTTCTATGAGTTATCTTCCTTACTGAATATCTCTGGATGTTTTAGACTCTTTTGACTAGAGTAGTCAAAATAAGGCACTTTTAACTAAGGATCCTTATAATCTAATAAGTGTTTGATTTTTTCATTTTATTTTTGGAGCATTTCTATGGGTTTTGGATTATTTGATTGATACCTCTTAGTTACTTCTTGTAGATCTCTTAAAATGTTTTATTTTAGATTATCAACCATATCCATAATTTGAGGGTCTTCGGATTACTTAAAAGCTGATTTGTTAGAACTTTTAGATGTTAGGTTCTATTGAATGCATCTTAAAGGACTAACAGATCCTCTTCCTCGAGTATTGATTGAAATTGGGCTCTTTTAAGCCAAGGGTGTTTGTGATCGATTTTCTTAATACAAAAGCTTTTTGGATGGTAAATTTTCTTTATTGTTTTTTTGAATGGAGTTATCAAAGTAATTCCTCATGGATTGTTGTGAATTGATTTCTCTTGTTGTTTGTATAACTTTTTCTTATTTATCAACCTTTTCGCATTTTTATACTTCAGCTACTCTTTTGGTGGAGGGTTGTAAAGTGCTCTTGGTTCTGCTAGCTCGCGTAACTAATTATGTTAACTATTAAATTGCATTTATTTATGGATTTCTAACAAGTTTTACAAAATGTTGTCGATCGTTGGATAACATATAAATTTTTATTAATAATTTAATGAAACTAGTCTAATAAGAGTATTACTTCAGCAGACCCAAAATCAGTAGTCTGTATTCACCTGAAAGCAAATATAAATCTATTTCTCATTATTCTGACAAGTCTCTCGTACAGAATATTGACACTTAAATCTAAATCAATTAAATCATGCAGAACATCTAATACTTGAGAGGTAAGATTAATTATGAAAAGAATCAACTGCAACAATTATCCTTTCTTAATAGCGATACTAATTTCTCGTTTACCTCAGTGCCTCTTAGTAAATTAGATCCTGAGTCTTACTATATGAAATAAAAGATTGTATAACTTAAAGAACAAGTATTAATGTAAAATATTAGTTAAAACAATTAGAGGATCAATAGAAACGAATGCAATCAATGAACTATTAGAAAATTGATCAAAATGAGGAGTATGCCTTCAAAAATTACACTATGATTGTCATGATGCGCAAATCCAAAAAATAGCTGATTCAGCATAAAAATGAACTTATAAATCAGATTAAATAATTAAAAAATGAAATTTATATGGATTAAATGGAAATTAATGTCTAAGACAATCAGATTATGGTTTTGGAAAAAAGATATAAACAATATAAAATGAAATTATCAAAAGTCTCTGAATAGCTCAAACAAATTAAACAAAATGTAAGTGTTTTCCAACAATTTGATATGAAAAAGTCTATGGAAATCAAAAATTTTATGAGTAAATTGGGAGTAGGGGATTCTACAGTAGAGGATATAGATGATGTGCTTGAGAATTACAATAGAAAAATATTAAATAATTAAAAAACAATAGATGACTTTTTATTAATAGCTTAACAACGATCCTATTATACATTGTCATAAATGTAAGACTTGGAATATCAAATTAAATTGTAAAAGGATGATAAATAATCGCTTTGTTAATAAATTAACGAACTAAAACTACGCATATCTAAATTCTCAAAAACCAAAAGAACTTCCTTGGAAAACAATTACAATAAAGATAATTAGAATGAAGATGAGACAGTTGGTTGGATATTTAATAGTAAGGATTTAGATGAGTTGTTTCCTTTGGCATAATCAAAAAATATGGATGATTTTGAAAGTGATATTTGATAATTAATGAATATGAAATCAACTCATTGATGTAATACAAAGATTACCAACCTAAGCAATAATCTTCTTTTATAAAGGATATTTATCTTAATCGTACTTAATTATATTTTAACAATATTAATATTCATTCTTCTTTTTTGTAAAGAAACCTTTTTAATGTCTTAAAATCCATTTTTTATTATTTCACTCCCAAGGCTTTGGAAACCATGCTAGTGTTTTAGTGAATTTATTAATCTACTTTATTTTATCGTATTGGTGCATTAGGAATTCTCTTTTTGCTCTTGCTACTCTAGGCTAAATTACTGTAATAGCAATAGATAAAGGGGCTATTATCTTGATATTCATGATTGACATACAAAGATGAGTCCCAAAACAATTTAGATGTTATATAACTAGGCTTGTCTTGAAATTTGTTTCTTTGTCTATTTATCATAAGTGTCAGGATTGAAAAACCAATGCAATCTAGTCTTAATCTTTTTAAATGTAACAGTATATATATTGTCTCCTGCACTTTTATATTTTCTATTATTCGTACCTCCAATAGTGTAATCTTTTTCCGAATTGATCTCTCACATCAATCCCTTTGTTTGCATCTTGACCCTCGAATTCTAGAAACTCTGAATGGAATTCATTGTTTAATGCTCTTTGATATCTCTCATCTGAATCGGCCATTTATTTTAATATTTTTAATGAATAGTGAGGAAGAAATTCTTAAATAATTTGATACATTGCTCAAATAAGTAAATAGTTTTGAGGACTAAAATCCTGGGGATGATAAACTGTTGGAGTTGATAGAGAAATTTTAACAAACCCAACAAGCAATTATTAAGCAACACATCTTTTCTCCAAATGAAGAATTCAATGAAATCAAAACAGAACATCTGAAATTTTTTTTATTGCCTTATTATGTGGGTTGGGCATTAGCTTAAGTGTAAAATGAAGATATTAGATAAAAGAACGTTGAAGCATCTAACTATTACGTGAAGGAATTTCTGAAACTATTGAGACATTATGAAATACTAAAAGGAATCCCATTAAAATTATTTAAATCCATGATGGAGAACGACACTTTATAAATTAATAGAGATGACAAGATAGCAAACTACAAGGAACAACAAACCTTGAACAAACAGATATAGGTATACTTGATAATAATCACTTTAGAATTTGTAAAAATTAGATGATGATAAATTATCGAGAGAAATTATAACATTGCAATTAAATTAAAAAATTATATCCTCATTGGATATTTTGAATACTAATCAATAAGAATTGGAGATACTAAAGTTCAAATCACAAATGAAAAAAGATAAACAACTTCAATAGCAATATTAAGATTAATAAGAAAAGCCAATCCCAAAAATGAAAGTCTGGAATATTCCAGTAATAATTTATAATATCATATAGAAACCAACCATGCAACCTTAATTCTTTGATCCACACTGCCAACATTGCTAAACTGAATCCGAACTTAGACAAAAGCATGTGGCCGAAGTTTGGTAACCCAATGCAGCCAGACTTCCAAATATGACTTTAGAAGAATTTGCTGATTCAGAAATGAAAGTACCTTTCTTAATAAATTCTAGTTTGCTCAAGATTAAGAAGCCAAAATGAAAAAGGCATAGGAGGAACAACAAAAACTAGAATAAGATAAAGATGATGATAAAGATTATTGGGCAGATTAATAAACATTGAAAGATAGAAACTGGGATGATTGGAAAGATGACAATGAAAAAGGAGCTGGTAATAAAATGGGTAGATGATTATCTAATACATCATTATTTTGATTTAATAAAATTGTATGAATCTGAAAAATCCTCTCTTTGCACCCCGATTTTCTTTTGTTTTATTTGAATTAGCAGGTAATATGGCAACCTCTCCAATCATTGTATTTTTAATTTGATGGCACAAATTTTGAATGTTCATTAGCAATATCTAAAACACTAAATTCTTTTTCTGTCCTTGAGTTTAAATATTCATTATAACTTTTGTTCTTTTCATTCTTATTTTTAACTCCTGTAATGAAATTATGTGAGCCTCTACTAATTTAAAACATGAATATAATCTCTAATAACTGTACCATCATGACTATTATACTTATTTCCATAAACTTATAATTATTCAAGATTGTCTAGAGCTATGGAAATAAATTTAAAGGCATATTAGGCATCTCTCTAACTTAACATCCTTGGTTGCCCCAGCTGAATTAAAATAACTTAAGCAAAGGTTACACTTCCTCTTTTCTTTAATAATCATCTGATCAAATTTTCAATTACTACTTGCGTTTACTATAAGGTTTTGAAGTTTAATGAAGCCTCCTCATCAAAAAATTATCCAAAATCATAAACTGTAGCTGAAGATCTAAATAAAATTCTAGCATTTATATTCTTTAATGCAACAAAGTGAATAATATACGCTATTTGATCTGTCACTTGTATTTACAGAAGACTTCATTCAATTGATTATGACTAAAAATTCTTCAATTTACAAATTTAATTTTTTCACCTAATTTTTTTACTATTAATATTATCTAAAATTTAACTCAAAAATTATCAAAAATGATGAATCTAAAGATGAGTATTAGAATACTTTGAATAAATTCCCAATGGCGTTTTACAATTCAGTTATTGTAATTAATGCTAAACCTCCAATAATTAAAAGTAATTAAATTATATAATAGAATATAAGACAAAAATTTAATATCATTTATATTAAGTGTTATTATGTTATAAATTTTTCACTTACCAATTAATTAAATTACTAATTCGACATCTCACTGTCAAAGGTTTCGGAGTCAATATTTATGCAGAACTTGTTTGATTTCTGAAAGTCAAGCTAGTTTGAAGATTATTAAATGTGTTAATAGTTTGAAGATTTAATTTTGGAATACTTTTTTAAGCTTTCTCTTTTAATGAATTCTTGTCAGATTTGTAAATGATCAATTTTTTTAAATCATTTGCCTTTAATTTTGATAGCTGTTTGTGATTTAATCTCTTTTGATCATAAGGATTATTTGAATAGGAGATTGGATTCAAAAGGGTGTTAAAATTCTTTGAAATTTTGTAACAATTTATTTAGTTATTGACTTTAATTGACTAATTTGAAGAGCATTTTATTTAAGAGGTCCTATTAATCTCTCGAAAGGAATCTGGTTTATTTGCTTTACATAATATTTAATGCAATTCTTTATTATTTTAAGCAGACTTATTCTTTTTGTTCTTAGGACTGTTTTTTTCAATATCTACAATAGATTTCATAATTTTAAGTTCAAGCTACTTCATTTCAGGAACTGAATGTTTGCTCTCTTTGTTTAATTCAATTTTATTTTCACTCCTAATCCTACTTAATTTAGAATATTTGTTAAATAGTTATATTAAGCTTTCCTTTTGAATATCTTTAGTTTTTTCTTAAGATGTTTTAAGTACCTTACTTACAGAATCAGTTGCAAGTCTAGTTGATAATGGAACTCTAATTTAATTGGAACACTTAATCTAAGTTCTTGATGATTGAGAAAACAGAAACTCTTCTAATTTTAATGATTTTTTAATTGATGGATTTTAATTCTTAAACACTTGATATTTCTACACATTTTTATTATTATTTGTTGAATCTTAATTAAAGGCTTTCAACATATCCATTATCTCACTTTTCTGATCTTCTTGGATCTTAGAGATTTTACTTATTTCTTCTTAGCTTATTTAATTTTAATCTCCTTATAATTTTATATCTTAAAGAATGTTTTCAACGTTGTTATTGATAGTTGAATTGTGACTACTTTCAGATTCTGGAGTTGTTTGTGTTTCTTCAGGTTTATCTCCAATAATACCTTTTGGAGTTTTATTTGGATTGTTTCTATTTTCATATTCTATTTATCTTTGTATTTTGTAGTATTCCAATTTTCGCTTTTTGTCATAGTAAACATCCAAAATTTTAATGATATTCTAATGAACAGTAAAGCGAGGTAAATCATTATGATATTTGTAGAACTCTGATAGTAATTTAATTTTAGCACTTGATTCATTATTATGGTAATATCTCTTCATTCTTTCTCCTAAATCTGAATATTGCAGATCGTCCTTAATTTATCACGAATTGCTTACATAAAACTAAATAGTAGCCGGTGTTCTGTTCTTACCAAAAATGTCGTTTATTTCTTTAGTGTAGTAATAATTTTATGATGCAGAATACTTATGATAGAGAGTGTGGTTGATAATGTTTCTAGAAGCAAATTCTGAATGATAATTTCTGACATAACCCAAGGTCTTTAATTAACATTCATGCTATTAATTCATATAAATAAATAAGTAAATGTCGGAAGAATTAAATTCCAGTCTTGACTCCCTCGAATTAGATTTATACCACAAACCCAATCCCAGAATTAGAACCATACTTAATTACCTTCGAGCCTAAAATATTAAATTTTGCACAGACCCAAAAAAGAAAGAAGAAGACTTCTATTCTAAACAGTCTTCAACAGAGATTAATTCTAATATGGATTTCGGAATAAGAAGAAATAGGTTTGTAAATAGAGGTCCAAAACGCTCAGGAATCCTTTTCGTTTCAAATACATCCTGATTTACTATTATATATATGTTATATTTAATTCAGTAAGCTTGGATTTGAATTCATTTTATGATCCTCATTAGATTACCAAACACACTCTACTTTATTTTATCCGTATCAGATTTTTGAAGTTTATTTATAACGATACGAATCTTTGAATATTATTTTGATTTTGATTTAAAATGAAATTTGGGAGAGCTCGATTTAATTCTGAGTTTCTCAAAATATTGACCAATGCACTAATCATTTTTAATGATAATTAATAATATATCAGTCTGATCACTTTTAGATAATATTTAATCAAAATGGGACCTCCTGAGGTATATATACTATAAGTCCATAATAATTATTATTATTCTAGATTGTTTATACTTATAGTCAAATTTTTATAAAGATTGAGATTATGTTAAGATCAAATCTTATTTCTAATCTGATTACCATATTGAGAGCTAATTGCAATTTACTATATTTGAGCCCACAGCAATACATCCCGATGAACATATCCCCTCATATTTAAATCTAATAGAGATATGAATCAATACATATTATTTATTCATTTTTTTCATAAATTTTTCTGAGGTCCATAAAATTACAGGAAATGAAAAGATTATTGTAATTCTGGAGATGAGATTTATTCATTTCAAATATCTTCAATAAAAATGAAGAATTATCTCAAATCCTTAAAATGACAAAGCTTGATGTCTTCTTTTAGCAAAGATCTTCATTCTATTTCAAGATTGCTTTACAGTTTCTTTAATAAAGATTTTATTAAAATAAACCTTAAAGTCAATATTTGGAAAAACATATGTTTATACATATATTTGTATAAAGTATTAATAATGGGGGTATTATTTATTAATATTGGAGAATTAATTATTAAAAGACAAGATACTTCGATGAATATAAAAAGTATAATTGCTTTAATTGACTAGTGAGTTAAGTGATCCTTTCGATAAATTATTAAACGATGAAGTAATTGAATTGTATTATTATAAACCATATATATAGTCATATTTGTTATCATGTTATATATTTTAAAAATAAGTCAATTTATATTTTTCATAAGTCATTAATTAAGTAATTTTATTAATACTTTATTATAAATAATTTATCAATGAATAAATATTAAATATTTTATAAATGTAATCGTCTCAAGAGAAACTACCCAGATTAGATCTTACTAATAGAAGATCATAATCAATGGCCAATTCTAATCCTGCATTAAAAAGACTAAAAGAAACTTTAATTATTGAGAATTAAAGTAGTACTCGTCGTTTGAAAAGAAAGGAAGGAGATATCTTGGATTCAATACTCGAGGATGCAAGTTTAATATTAGGAAACAAACAGCTAGAGAAAAATATTTATTAGCTCAAAGAATTGGGGTTATTGAAATAATATGATCCTACAATAGCAATTCAATAGGGATTTAAGAAAAGTAATTACGTGATGAATGATTATCATAATAAAAGCACAACAAATGGATATTCAAGAAATTATGGGGGATTGTTTTACAATAGATGATTTATCTTAAAATTTTTAATAATCAAATAACCTACTGCTTCTAAATATTAATTCATAAATAAATAATTTATTTTTTATATTATTTACTTATGTTGATTTTTATTGATAGTTTCAATAAAATATCCCTATTCTTTTAGAACTTCTCTGTCATTTATTCATTTGACGAATTTATAAAATGGATAATAAATTTTATTTATATTTATTTTTATAATGTTAATTAATGTATTCTGATAAGAATTTACAATTGTTACTTTCAATAGATAATTCATACATGATCCTATAAGTAAAAATCATATAAATTAAATATGTGTAATAGTTATATTAATATTGACTCAAAATATATTAATATCTGGCTATTTTTAGTATTACATATATATTGATGCAATATTGCATGTTTATTTTAAATATTTTCTTAATTTTCTCTCTAAAATGAAAAGGGAAAATAAATGTGAAAGCAAAAGTAGGAGCAGAAGTCGTAGCAAGTCTAGCAAAAGGAAAACCTAAAATAGCCAACTCTAAAATTGTATTGAAAAGAAACATAAAAAACAAGGAAATGATTACTAAATTGCCAATAGAGAATCCATTTCACATCATTCTAGTCCAATTAGATCACAAGAAGAACTCCAAAAGAGCGATGAACTTAATAAGTAAATATTGTGTTAATGCAGAAAAAGCAAAGAGGAATGTAAGATTTTAGATTAGTTTTAATGTATCAATCTAGTCGCTAATAATTAATCTTAAATGCAATTGGAATAGCAGGATCAAGATGAAAGGTGTTGTATATCAATGTCTCAACCTCAATAAGAAACAGGGATAAACTCAAAAGAAACTTTTAACAAACAGCCTTCTGAAATGATCACTATAAATGACAGCAGTTACGAAGAGGATCAAAATGCTTAGAAGAATGAAAATAAAGGTAGTTCACAACTTGAGAATCGATTGTTTGGCGATTTAAGGGAAACACGATGGAGAGATGGTATATGGAAGCGAGAACAAAAAATATAAAGTCAACCAATAAAACAATCATCATAGGTTATAAAATAACCAAAATAATCCCTTGAATGCATTGATTTAACCAATGATGATAATATCTTATCGTTCTTTGGACTTAATCATCACATGCTATTAAGTTCTTAGGAATATGATAAAAAGGAATTATTCGAATTAGCTGAACCATACGAATACTAATGTGGAAATTTTATGCTTAGCCTGGGAATCCAAAATCATTATACTGCAATTGTGACTCTGCCGAACTTATCTTAAAAAAAACCTGTTTATTATTTATTTATGATGTTCTAATTTGATCCAAAAAAAAACATTTATTGCTTGGTCCCAGAAGATGACTAAACAACATTACTGGTTAGTTCTAATATTTCATCGCTTTACTATTACTGTAACTCTAATGTTCAATAGAAAAAAAACAATAAAACTATCTAAATAGAAAGAACTCTGATTTACAAATTTCCTTATATATATCCCTCTTTAATTAGAAAATATGTTATCTCTTACTAAAAAACTGATTCATAGATTCTGTACCCAATAAATTACAATTCAAATGCTACCTAACAAGCAATTGAAGATTATTATTGGGATGATCCAGGACATTTAATTACAGGTACCAGTCATCCTTTTTTGAAAATTTTATTCTTAAAATCCAAAAATAATTAGATTCCTTCATTTTACTTTGAATTCATTAGCAATCCACTCTATGAGGGATAGTATAGTTTAAATGTTTGTCTTAAATAAAATGGGAATCAGATTGTTGTAGATAGAAGGTTAAGTACTTTCTTAAAATTAGATTCTTAAGTCCCTTTTCTTATGGTGTTCATCCTGTTAAAATTGAAATCAATAGGATAACAAATCAAATTGTTATGAAACAAACAGGAAGAGAGGAGCATATAATCACATCAAAAAACGTAAAATGCTTTTGGGAATAAGTTCTACCAAGATACGTTTAATTATACCATCCGTATTATCATATGTTAAGTTTAGCAAAAAGTTGTACTATTACTTTGTTGATCTCATCAATCAGGATAGAAAGATTTCAGAAAAATACAAGAAATGGAATTAACTCTATTAATACATGAGCAAATCTAATTAATAAAAATCTAATAAGTCAATTGATGAGACTGTTATCCTGAATGATAAGCAATTTTTTAGTTATTCAATCGAAGAAAAAAAAAATGGAAACAAAATTAATTATTAATGATAAATATGAATAAATTATAGTTTGTCTTTAAATTTTGCACTGAGACTCAAAAGTCAATCTATAAACTTGAGAATGCTCAAAAATACATCTCTGATTTAGTCTAAAAGACTGATTGGATCAGCTTTGCAATATCTAAGCATATTCCAAAACAAGTGAGGTACTTATTTTTCATTGAATAAAGATAAGATTATTTGAACATCTGTCAATTTCATAATGAATTAGCAAGAATTGAAGAAACCTCTAAAGAGAGATCCCTTGGAGTAGGCAAACTATAATATTGGTCTGATCAAATCGATTAAGTAATATTCCTTAAGATATTGAGATTTTTTTAGATAATCCTTAAAGAGATCCTTTATCAATTTGCCTTCATAACAGTTGTAAAAACAACCCATTACCAAAATATCTCTTTCAAAAAATGATAAATTATCGCAAATAACAAGTGGAGAGGGGAGAATTTGCAAATCTTGTAGATATGGCAACATCTGCAGAAGCAAACAGAGGATCGCAATTTTTATTGTTTTTGAGGTTAATGAGGATGGATATAGAAAATCAGGATCTGAAATAATTGACAGAGCTATCAGCTTAAGCAGTTGGAATTACAGATTATCTTAGGAGAGTGCCATTCACACTTTAAAATTATAAATTAAGTTTGCCAGAGGATATTAAATTTAAACATAGCATCAATGTTAGGTCACTTTGGGACAGAATTAGAGGTATATTACTTGATTAGAATTCAAGGCGAACCAAAGGAAGAATTATATGATGCAGTTTTAGAAGTGGCTGCTTTTGCAAGATCCTAAATGATCAAATCAACATCATATTAGAATAAGATTCCACCTTAATCTTTCAGGGCATTTTTGCATTTAACACCGACTGAGCAATACTTAGAAGAGTTGGAATATTATAATTTTAAGATATTTGAAAAGTATCGATTCTATTTATATAAGAGCGATCAATTAAAATTCATATGTGTAATTACCCATAACTCTATTCAAAAATTGCAGAAAGATGAAGTTTGTAAGCAAGGATTACGAATAGAAATGAGTATTAATTTATAGATATTAATTTAATTTTATGAAAAAGTCCCAGTCATAAAATAATTCAGGAACCTTTGATTTCCCAGAAGTTAATAAGCCTAGGTTCGAACCTTAGCTTCATAAAATCAGTGCAAGCACTTAATAGAAGGTTGTTATTTAAAAACTGACTAATTCACTTAATAATAATAAAATTATTACATAGACGACAGAATAACCATAGACATTAAGAAGTTATGTTTCTAAGCCTTAAATTAATTCAGAGCGCTTTATGTTTGATTTAGATGCTTCAATGGTATATATTCATAGAGAAAAAATTGCGCAATTTGAAGAACTTGAATAATAGAGAATTCAGTAATTATTAAGAGATATACAAATAAAGGTTCCCTAAATAAATGATAAAGTAAATCATTTCATAGCATTAGCAGTCTAATACGAAAATGAAAAAGTTAATCCTTTAGTGAATTAATTCATAAAAGTGATTGAATAATTATTGTAAATTTTTGATGAAAAAAATAAGGAAATAAAAGAATATTAGTTTGCATTGAAGTAAAGTAGAGAGCAAGTCTAAAATAATAGTAGGTTAATTGAAGATTAATCATAAATGATAAAATATATGGAAAGTTAAAATTAAAATGCTAAAAACGTTACAAGAACCTTTTAGAGATCTAATGAATTGGCTGTCATAAATGTGTAACTTGAAAAGAAAGTGGAACTTTTAAATTAGAATCTATAATTTTTAATGAATCAAAACAAAGATAGTTTGGCATCTCAATTATAATAAAAAATTGAGTTGCTCAATAAAACAATCGAGGAGTAATAAAATAAGTTATATGATGATAACAATATATAGATTTAATTGTAACAATAAATTTAAACTCTTAAATCAACTGAGTTCAAACATTAAATTTAACTTAAAAAATTAGAAGATAAAATCTAAGACTATGAAACAAAATTAAAAGATTTAACTTTTCAAGTCTCATATTCTAAAGAATAGAAAGATCAATATAGAGAGCTTTATTATATGACATATGAAGATTTATAAATGAGCAAACTAAACACACTAACAGAAAGAAAATAAATGCAAAAGAGTTTTGAAAAAATCAGAATGTTGTAAGATAGAATAGATGAAATGACAGTCAAGAGAAGTAAAGAAGTTGATGCTCCTTTTTAAAGTAGAGTTGAAGGTGATATGATACAATTATAAGCAATAATCAAAATTTTAGATGAAGATCATGTATTTTAAAGGTATATGATGAGTAGTTTCTTAAAGAATGTCCAAGAGTATGATTCAAAATTAGTGGATGCATATGTAGATGTTAAAAGATTAGTTGTAGGCAGAGATGAAGAGGCAGAATTATAAACATTAAGATATAATTACCCACCCTTCACGCTATTTCTAGAAAAGAGAATTGTTGATTAGGAAACCTAATATCTACAAATAAGACCAATCTCTAATAATTTTATGGGTTTGCTTAGAGCTATCTTAGATGGTATGTTTATTGAGTTCCAAAAAAATACCTATATTTCTTTTTAAGGTTATGTAATTTCCTGGTTAAGTACATTCACAATTGATAATCATTAAGTTATAATATTTCCAGAAGATACAAAAAGAGTAAATTTTATACACTATAAATTAAGGTCAAGATAGAAGAACAATTGCACACTTTTTATCTAGATTTAATGGTACCTAGATTAGATAAAGTTTGGGAAGTAGTTCAATTTAGACATTTCTTAAATGACATCTATTCTTTAGAAGAATTATATTTCTATCTTCATGCTCGCTTTCTTTTGAGAAGAGGACCTTGGATTGAAACATTTGATGCAATCTATGGCGTTGTCAATTACATGAAAGTATAATAAGCTGAATCCATAATATTGAGGTTTTTAGAATAATTTGATAAAATAAATTAAACCTTAGTTATAAGAGCGGTTAACGAAAGGATTGTGGAAGGAAAAAGTAATAATACTATTTTATTAGATCAGAAGACAGAAAATTAATTTAAACAGGATTTGTCTTATAATTATTACTGGAAATTTTCAGAATAGATAGAATTAATAGATACAAAATTCTTTCTTTTGCATTTCCAGCTCAACCCATTAACTTTAAATAGTTTCATAAATTTGTTAAAGGAAATTTTTCAAAATGCACTGAAGGGGAGGCTGCAGAACTTTGGAGGGAAGTTTACATGATTTCAAATGGCATTCCAAATTTAAATTCATTTTTTACTGCTGCCTAATCCCTTTTTATTAAGTCACTTATACTTCCTGCAATATATGCTGTTCCACTTCTAGATACTAATAGAAAATTAGCTTTTGATGAATTAAATTTCACAACAATGAAAATTTAAGAATAATTAAAAGAAATTAGTGATTACGATTTCGATACGCTTAAGACCTTAATTCCTTAAAGTTTTTAAGAGGAAATGATTAGAATTACAAAATAACTAATGCCAAAAAATTAAATTTAGTTTGTCAATCCCCTTGAATATGTATTTAAATTTATGAAGCTTATCCTCACATTGAAATATAACACTATTTTAGCAGATGGCTTAGAAGAAGATGGTGTTAATAGAAAAGGTTTTATTACTGAAACATTTACATAATTCATCACTTCTGAAATTAGTGAATTGAATAAATTCATTCATAAAAAGCAATCATATATGTCTGATTAAGAAATTAGGATATCAAGATTGTAGAAATATGTAAAGAAAAAAGTTAAGAAAATATATGTTATCATGTCATCTGTGTTACAATCAAGAATAAAATAATGATATTTATTTCATATATTATCAAAATCGTTGAAACTCTGAATTAATATTCCTTAATTTATATATTATCCAACATCATCTCCAAATTATTAAATTAATTAAGTTTAAATTTGGGCCTAAACGTTTTATGTTTATTATTATTATTATTATTATTATTATTATTATTATTATTATTATTATTATTATTATTATTATTACTAACTTTATTATGATTGATCCTTTGGTTTAGCAGGTTTTCTCTTTGTGGCCCTGTAATCCTCAATAAGTTTCTTTCCTTTTTCTAATTTAATTTCTGATGTTTCAATAAGGAAGCACTCTTCATTTTATTCTTGCTGATCTTTCTCAAAAAATCTTATGTACATATTATTAAGCAAAGGTACAATAGAATCCTATTTAAATAGCTCAGTCGTCCTTCTGTATGATTCAGACTTCAAAATGATGTCTCTGATTAACACTTTATCATCTATCTTTCTGTATTCCTCTAGTAGTCCAATACAAGCTTAATATAATCTAATATCATAAGTCTTATGTAGCTTTTCGAAAAGTTGGTAGATATCTTTGTGTTTTTACATTTTGAGCAAAATATTAATAATCAATTTTAATATTTTAGACTTCTAATAATTAAAAATTAGGTCTTACGAATAGTAATGACTTAATACTTCATCTTTCTCACACTTATATTTATCAATTTATAAGTAATAATACACAAGATCTCTACTATTTGGTTGATATATAGAGGATATTTGTGCAAACACTTAATCTATAGGAGCTTAACTGTTAAATTTTAAATGAGTTGCATAATAAAATGCTTCTATTATATACCTTTAAGCTTTTTTTCTTACCAATTTTTATGTATTCTCTATAAATATATTTAAAAGGTTATTTAAAATTAAATTAACTTCTTCTTTATTGAACTCCGTATTTTCCTCTTTCTCCAGTTGTTCTTAAGTAAAATTTGATATTTTAAATTTCCTATTATCATATTAAAACTCAAATTGAAGATCGCTTTGATTTTAATTTAATAAATAAGAGAATTTGTCTTTGATTATTTAAATTAATTGTTTTAATTAATGGTATAGTCTATGTCTTAAGAATCTTCTGATGAATTTGTAAATGTTAATGTAAAGATCTTGCTTCATCTCTTATTCGCCATCACTTGATTGAAAAAAGTATTCAATATCATATTCTTTCATTTACTTGATTAAATTAACAAGACTGTTAATATTCTCTAAATTCTAACTAATTCTTTCGATTGGAACATTCCTATATTTTCTCATTACTTTTTTTTCATATAATTATAAAACTCTAAAATTATTTTCTATTTCAAAAGCATCTTTAGGTATGTTATATTATTTTTAATAAAGTGATTAATATCCTTATTCTGTCTTTTTGTACAACTGTTCATTATTTGAATGCTAGTATTCAACTTGTCTTTATTTTAATTTAATCAAGTCCATTACATATCTATATTCATTTAAATGATTCAATGAGGGATTTTTATTTACATATGCCTAAATCTTTTTCTGGCTCAAAAACCAATCAATTTCAGTTTAGTTTTTCAACTTAAATTACTTTTAAGCTTACTCAAAAGTACCTTAATACAAGTAATTCCATAAATATGGTGATTCTTTATAGGCTAAAGCATAACAGATATTTTTTAAATCAAATTTAGGTTGATTTTCATTGAAATTTATTTCTTCTGACTTTTAAATTTGATAATATAGGTTAGATTTATAATCGCATTACAAATTGTTTTGAGTAACATTATCTTAAAATTCTTTTATTGAAGTTATTTGTGATTTCTATTTTGTAAAAATTTAAGAATATAACCATTCAGCAAATTCCTAAATCTTTGGATCAGTCTATTTCTGCAAAGATTTTTTAACAATATCAATAGTAAATTAATGTAATTATCTTTAATCCTAAAATGTCTTTGAAAAATGAGTTAAAAAATAACCCATAAATTAAAGCTCTGCTTCAGATAAATCCCTCTCAAATTCTTACTAGAGATAATAACTTTTTAGAAATATGTATTAAAAATGTCTACTAAATTCTTTAGTAGTTAATCCATATTCAACTCTTATTATTTCCTTAGCCAATCTTTTTATGTGTTCAATAATTTTTGGGTCTCCTACATTTACATTGATAGTATGATTCAACAAAAATTCAACTGTTTTAGTTGTAAACTGGTAGTACTATTTACCTAATTTAAAAGTACTTTCAGTTTGATCCTATAATAAATGTAGATTTTAGTATTATTTTTAAAAAACTTCATCTGATTCTATTTCTTCCTCAGAAGCACTTGAAAATGATTCTGGCTAAGGATATTTAGTCTCTTATTTTTCAATTTCAATTTGTAACTCATTTTATTGAACTATAAATTAAGGCGTATATTGATCTTTTAAATCTAATAAATGAAGCAAATAGTAACGAAGTTCTAAGTCATTTTAAACATTGTTTTTGTAGTGTTCTATTAATTAATTATATCTATTTTTCATTTGTATCTTAGTTTTAATAAATTCTTACAGAATTAGATCAATGTTTATATAAGTAAAAAGTTTATTTATATTTAGATGATGAAATTTTAGAATCTCAATCAATAGTAGATGCTTATTTTAACCATTTGTTTGTTATAGGAAAATTTCAATAAATTTAGCCAAAAACTCACTTGAATCTAATTCCATTAAAGAATAAATTATTGAAAATTTTAAAAAGATAAACCCTATAGAAAGATCTGGTTAGGGAATATTCAAAAATTGCTATATTAAAGGTTGCACAAATTTATAAATTATTTTAAGTTCTTCTTTTTATTGCACAAAATAAAATTAATTAAGACAAATTATAGCTAATCTTTTAATTATATCATAACTTTAATTCTATTTCAAATAATCTTATACATAAAGTATTTAAGTTCTTATTTTTTCATTATCTTCTAGCCTCTATTCTTTTTATTCCCATTAAGTTAGTATTTGTTAAATTTATTAAGATTAATGTGGCGAACTTGAAGAAATTTAAAATTATGCAGACTTTATCTTATCCAAAATTTCTTAAGTTAATTCAGGGTTATTTAATTATTAGGAACATTATTTTGCTATTCTTCCTTAAAAAAAATTTATATCACTATGAATATATGCCATAACTCTATAGTAGCTTGATAAATATTTTTAAACTTCTGCTTCATCAGTTATTATTTGATTAATATTTGTCTAAAGAAGTTCCAATTTCATATTATTAATAAATCTAATAAAGTTTTTAATTTTGTTTTGTTGCTCAGGAGATTTAGGTTTCTTTTCTTTAAATCTGAAAATTAATTCTTCATATGCAACTTCAAGTAATATTAACTTAATTTTAGGATTATCAGTAAATTTGTTTGTAGAGTATTAAGCCCATACGATACAATTTATTAAACCTTTAAGAGCCTCTCGATATGATGAGCCATAAGAATTTTTTCTTTGAGGGCTTTTAAGTTATTCATTTACAGTATCTGATTGTTATTACAGGGGAGCATCATCATATGATTAATATTCTAAACAAATTAATGATATAAGTTTTTCTAATAATTAAATTATAGTTAAAAACTACTTATTATTTAAGTTTTCTAAAAGAAATTTAGCTACAGGGCATTCTTATTTTTCATTTTGCTCGCTTTAAATTTTTATGTTATTATTAATAAGTTAGAATATTTCATTCCCATCAAATTATTTTAATAATTCAATCAATTTATTATGATTAGATTAAATTATCTAATCTAAAACAAATTATTAATCTTATTGCTATTTAGTTTTCTTAGATTTCTACCTTTCTGATTATTTAACAGGTTGATTTTCTTTTGGTAATTCTTTTGAAACATCTTTTGAATTTTATTGCTATTCCTTTGAAATGACTAGTATTTTTGTATTAGACATAAAGCATTTATCATTATGAATAAAATCAACCTTTTTTGATTCAAAATTAACATTAATTTGTAAAATATTCTAAATTTTTTTAAAGAACTTCTTTAAATCATAGGTATCTAACTTGATTTCAAATTAAAATGTTTAATTAAAATACAATATCTTCTGAGCTGACTCAAAAGGAACCTTTTCTAATTATTATTGAATTTGAGATTACTCTTATAAAAGCTCTTTTACAAAATCAGTAACATTATTTTGATCAATAAAGTATTTTTTCAATTCTGCAATTTTATGCTTCAAATTATTATTATCACTCATTTTATCAAAATATATTTCGAATTATTTTTAATCATTCATTAAAAAACAAATAGAACAAACTTGATATAATATTGCCTCTATGATATTAGGTTAATTGCATAATTATAGTCTATATAATCTAATTTAATTAATACGCTTTTAATATAACATTTAAGGCTCTAGGCATCATTCCTAATTGCCTAAATATTAAAGCCATTTTCCTTTGGGTTTGCCAGCAATTATCTGAAATTAAAGTACTTTGATAATAATAGTATAATGCTTCACATTTATTCTATACACAATCACTTTAGACCAGAATTTCAGCTAAAGACATATAGATGCCATATAAAATCTTTTTATCATCCTGATTAATAATGGATTAATTTTGCATTAACTCCTTTAATATCTGAATTCCTTATGCTTCATTACCATTTTCTAGAAGGTCAATTGCTTATTAGTATTACTAAAATAACTCTGACTCTAGCTTTTCCTTATTTTGACTCATTAATAAAATAAAATATTGCTTAAATAAATTCATTCATCTTAACTAAAGAGAATTGGATAAAAGAAAGTAAATATATCAAAATTCTGTAAAGTAATATAAAAAATTTTAGCATTTTATAATATAGAATTGTTTTGTTATCACTTACATTTAAATCTTCTGGTTCTCATTTACCATCTATTGCCTAAAAAAAAATCTTATAATTATTACAAATTCTGATGATTCCATAAGATAAACTATATAGGATGATCTTTATTTTTTTACAGCGTTTAAACCTGCAACTTTCTTAAGTCCTTTAAAGTTCTCATAATTCGATATAAAACTAAAGACTTTATTGTATTTATGATTTAAAATATTTTTTAAGAAAATACTATAAATTTTGAATTTATAATTCATAATCTTTTACTATCCTACACATCAAAAATAATTTTGTTTAGTCTGAATTTATAAAATATTTACTAAAGTTCTTTGTCGCTCTTAAAAACTTCTTAATTTTTTCGTTTAAACTAATCATGATATATAATTGATAATAGCCAAAGATTAGGAATGAGCAGAATTTTTAAGAAATTAGTTTTTAAATTATTTGTATTAAATCATTACAGAATTTGGATATTTATTATAATTATGAAATAAAATTAATCCCGAACAAAGCGTGATTGAGTAGAAAATCATAATAGAATTTAAATTAATTTACTTATAATTTCCAGTAATACTTTCTTAAACCTTAAAGTTTGCTTAGTCATCCGATGTTTAATCTGTATAATAAAAACAGGCTTATTATAATCAGTAAGCACATAATTTAAATAAAAATAAAAATTAAAGATTTCAAATTTTGTTATTAATAATTCTTTTTTTTATATTATTTCCAAAGTAATAATGTATTTATTTAACAAATAACTACTTAGATTAATAAGATCATTATTTTCAGGTTTAATCCACATTAATGCAACTTCCTAAAATACTGCTTTCAAGGATGATAAAAATTAAGAAATTCTGTGTTAAAGACTATATCTAATAGTTTTTCATTAAATATTACTTAATTAAATGAAACAGTAGAAATAATTTAAGTAATTATAATTAATTATTCTAAATATCAAAAATTCCAAATTTTGAACTTTTATTATTTATAAATTTCTCTATTCTGAAATTAAAAAATCCATTCTTATACCAAACTTTTAATCAATGTCTTTGCAGATTATTTACCAACAACAAATAGTAATAAGTGTAGGCAATCTTTATATAATTTAATTATTTTATTTTATACAATATGTCATAAAATTAATAAGGTGATAAAGCACAAAAGGAACAATATTTGTAAGACCAAGTTGAGAAAGGTTTAGACGCTGATTTATGCGCTTAATTTCTCGTGGGTTTGAAGCCTGAAGGAGGTGATGACATTGACAACTGGGATTTGAGTGAATTGAGTAAGAACTATGTGTAATATTTTAGAGGCTGCTATTGAATAATTTAAGGAATCTTAAAAATAAGCGGAAGAACAACAGCCGAATAATTCAGAAGATTAGAGCAGTTTGTAATAAGCACAACCTTAAGAATAACCATAACAAAATTAATAGATAAATTAATAGAGTAATACTCCTGTGCTTGTAAATTGTTATTAAATTTTACCGAATGAACTATCTGGTGAAAATGTGTCCGCTAAGATATTGACGTAAATCTATTTGATATCAATAGATATAAAAAAGAGAGCGCTGGTTTCTTCTCCTCTTCGTATATTGTATTTTAGATTGAGACACAACCTCATGGTTGGGTTGTTTTCAGAAGATATTCAGATTTTGAATGGCTTAGAGATTCATTATAGAAATTTTACCCAGCTTTTGTTGTTCCTCCAATTCATAAAAAACGATCAAGGTCATTTGAGGATTCTTATTTAAACAAAAGGGTGATATTTTTGTAAAGATTTCTAAACAGCATATTTAAATCATATGAATTGAAAAGCAACATAATAGTTAAGAACTTTTTGAGCTTAACATAAAATAATGAATTTAAAAAATTCTAAGAAGTACAATTTCATTAATATTTTTAAAGAGTATTACTAAGAGCGCCCCTCCATAGACAGTTTAAAGGATGTTTTCAAAGGAAGGTCAAGTGAATTGTGTTGCTCCTGGAGAATTATACCAATATGCCAATTAAACTTAGGAGTACTTCTATGAGATTGATGGAGTCTATAAAAAGATTAGAGTATTAAGCAAGAGTCTTAAGGAAATACAATTATAAAATTCGTTAAAGATTTATTGTGTTGGAGAGATATTTGCTTCTTTATTCCAGCATTTAAATAAGTTAAACTAAACACTGCCAACAGGATAAGCACAAGGTTTAGCAGCTACCTTTTTGAATTTAAATAACACTATGATTACTTGGGGCAATATTATTGGAAAATAAATAGAATAAACAGAGGAGTATTTGAATAGTTTCTTTAAATATTAACAGCATTACAATTCATGCATCAAATAAATATATGAAACAAGGGCAGTCATAACATAAGATTTAGAAAAATTCAAGTCTAAATTGCATTATAAGAAAGAAAGATTGTTTTAATTAGGAGACATTTCGAAGTGGGATTTAAGCAAGGACATTAAATTAACTCCATAAGAATTACAATAAAATAAAAAGTTGGCATTCCAACATATGTGTGATTAAGAAACGAAACAAGAAATGGGAATGGAAATGTTGGTGGGATATTATACAAATTAAATATTTTCGTAAACTCAGTAATTTTTCAAGTAGCAATAACAAGAATTAGTTGGTCATTTTATTAAATTTTGTCAAGTGTAGGCGTTCAATATAACAGATGTAATTTTTTAGTTTAATTAAAGCATCACTAATTATGGGCTGATGCAATAACGAATCTCTAAAATAATTTGTTAGTTCAAAAGCGGTAGACATAATAGGTAGTTGTAGAAAGTGTTGGCTGATAAATTGAGAGAATTTATTAAAATAATATTACATTTATTTATCATTGATAAAATAAATAATCTTTACAATACCTCAATTTCTTGTTTTAGTTATCTCCTAAATATCTAAGTCAAAAATGCAGAATTAAAATTCCTCCTTAGTTATTTTACCATTCTAAAATTAATTGATAAATTGAAACACATGACTCAACACTACGTCATTTCTACCTTCTGGGTATATTTTCCTACAGGATATATTATTTAAGTTACAGAATTAATTTATCCAATTATTATTTGGTTATTCCTCCTATTGAATTAGGATCATATTTGTTAAAGAGGTCGTTTATTTTTGTGTCAAATTTTATCATAGATGCCTTGATGCTCAATAATACTTCCACAACCTCTGGGTAGAGAAGTGAAATATTCTTTACTTTTTTCTTATCCAAGTTCATAGTCCATTTAAGAATAGGTAAATTTTTAAGTTGATTGTCTTGTTCAGTTTGTTCTTAGGGCATCAATGGATAATGATAACCTCTATCTCCTTTTAATCTGTTCTTGACTCTGTTTTACCAGTTGCTAATGTCTTTATTAGTGATATGGGTAGCTTTGAACCCAGCTATTTCATGAAATAAAGAACTAATTTCTTTTGTAGATGAAGTATTAGTTAATCTTTTAGCACTTTAAATAAATCTATCAAATAATTAAGTTAGATGTACTCTTATTTTGACAGGTTTTCAGTATTATCACTTTGTGAATTCATTCCGATCATTAGATAAAGATCCACTTTGCTACTGGTTTGTAAAAACTATTCCTTAAATTATGTGTAGCTTTATTCTATTTTAACATCGACATTAATGCCCAGTTAATTTATTACAAAAGGGTGTTAATACACTTACTCCCAACTTAATCTTTCGCTCTCTGAATATTTGATGCATTAGATAATAAACTCGTAGATTGGTTCTTGTGAATATGCATTTGTGAATTCCTTTGATACTTAGGTTTCATTTATAATGATGTTTGGAACTTAAACTTAATGTGTCTTTTACCTGACCCTTACAGACATTCATATAATATTATGCCAACCGACCACACATCACATTTGCTAGTGTAGATTTAATTTAAAGTCCTCTATGGAGACTAATAAGGAGTTTGGATATTTTCGCCTTAGAATCGACTAATCATATACCCATTGCCCAAATCTAAAAGTCATATGTGACTCATTACCAGAGTAATAATATTGGTTGTTCTTCTTTAGAATTCCTTCTGGTTTAATATCCTAATGCAACACATTCTAATTTATCAGAAAGAGATAACCATCTAGTAAATTTTTACAAATCATTGTCACTTGTTCCAATTTCAATTTACCATTTTCTGCAAGAATCAACTCCCTAAGAATAAATCAAAACAATACTATCTTAAGCTTGTCTCAGCCAATTCTGTTATCCAATAGACTGAATTCTATGTCTCCTCAAGAGCAATGCATTTTATAAAATTTTCTGGTTGCATCATCCTTAAAAGTAATTCCTCTTATTTCAATATTTCTCTCAAGTAGAAATTTTTATCCTTTAGCATATCTGATCTAAATTTCTTTAGCCCAACGGCCGAATTATCCTTAGTATTTTTACCTTCATATATCACACTAATCCTTCCCTCTCCCAAGACTTTCCTTTAATCCCATTAAAAGTATTATCCGACTTTACAAATGTCCTATTACATTATTAAATATTAAATTAATTAAGAAATCTTAATAAATACAGAGTTACTTAATATTACATGACAAAGAAGTATTAATAGCTGATCTTTTTAATCATATCAGCTAAATAATAGCTGTAGAATTTCATAAATTCAATCTCATTTGAATCTATCCAAAATAACAAGTTTGAAATTAGATAAATGCATTTTCTTATGATGCCTAAGATCAAGTTAATGATGTATTATAAATAATTTCGAGATATTATAAGTTATTGAATGAATAAACTAGTTTAAAAATTAAATGGATATTGTTAGAATACCATCAGCTTTATAAATCTCATTATTTTCAAAATTATAAGGCTATTTGCTTAATCATATAGATTATTTAGTGAATTTATTTTTTAATATAATATACTCAAATTTAGAAATGGTTCTTTCGATAAATATTTTATTTCGTAGCATTAGAATTGATATTATATAGAATGCAGTAATATTATATAATGTATCTCCACCACTCAACTGTTATTCACTTAGAATCAATAAGTAACTTAGATTCCTCGATATTAGCCGCTCTGACAACGCACTCTTAGCGTTCTAATACATTTATAAGATATCCATAAGTATTAATGACATAATTGCACATTTCATTCTGCTACATGATTGATGCGATAATGTTGTGGTAGAAGTATTCTTATTAAATTATATCATATCAAAAGTGAATATCACCACATCTCATTCTATGATGTATTATTCAATTTATATGGAAGGATTATTCATCAAAATTTAATTATATATTTTTAATGTAAATATTGTGGAATATACAAGTTTCTGATAATTAAGATTTATAATATATTCAAAAATGGCATACAATCAACCTCCTCCTCCTGCCCAAGGATATGGAACAACACCACCACCACCTCCAGCTGGATAATTAGGTAATCAAATAAAAAATATAATCAGGTTAATATCCTCAAGGTTAATACCCTCCTCAAGGTTAATATCCCCCTCAAGGTTAATACCCACCATAAGGATAATACCCACCATAAGGATAATACCCTCCTCAAGGACAATATCCTCCTCAAGGCTAATACCCTCCTCCAGGACAATATCCTCCTCCGGGACAATACCCCCCTGGACAATATCCTCCTACAGGTTAATATCCCCCTCAAGGTCAATACCCACCACAATCATATCCTTAATAACCAGGATATTGCCCACCAGGAGGATATCCCTAATAAGTCCCAGGTTAATACCCACAAGGTCAGACCACTACTATAATTGAAATTCAACAATAACCTGCTTAAAAACCTCCTTAATAATCCCACGGCGGCGGAGCTGTTGTCGGAGCAGTAATTGGAGGAGCTCTTCTTGGAGCAGCCTTGGCTGATAATCATCATCACCATCATCATGGTCATGGACCAAATGTTGTTGTTATTGAAAAAGGACGCAAGCATCATTGATTTATTGATATTTATGTGCAATTATAAAAAGAAAATTAGGTACACTTGGCTCTAATAATCATATATGTTTTTAAATTAGTTCCTTAATATTATCTTATTTGTTATTAAAGAATATCATAAAATAGGATTGCAGAATTTCTTGGCTATTTTAAATTTCTATTTGCTATGATTTATTATATCTTATTACAAATAAAGTATGTGAAGTTAACTCATTTATACTAAGAGATGATAAATACTATAATTTAAAATTGAATTAATTTAAAACTCATTATGCATAGTATTAATTAATAATATAATTTTATAAATGTTATATATTTATTATTATAATCTAAGAGAATGTCTAAAGGTTTTGCTCTGAATTTCAAAAATGACAACGTGATGACTTTTGAATAAGAAAATGAACTGTATGCTGGGCAGAGCATAAAAGTAAATCATATAGATATTATCTAGTTAAAATTTAAATAGGAAGAGAAGCAATTTGAGTTAGAGGTAAGGATAATTTGCTCATAACAAGTTAGTTTAAAGTAGGATAAGATGTGGAATGGGCTAAAAAATGTGTTGCTGAAATATTAGATTGTAGTAGAAATGATTTTGTAATATAATTAAGTAAATATGTAAATAGGACTTGATTTTTGAGGAAAAGGTAATGCCAGAATTCTTTTCTCTAAATGATATTCCTAATTTAAAGGATTAATCATACATTATAATAAAAATGAAGATTTGATTTTTATCAATATAATGAATATACATTAAAAATGATATTTTATAATGCTTTACTTATTAAATTATCTCACATAATTAGAAAACTATAATTGATGTCCAATAACATTCAAATAATTTAACCCAAAGTTAAATAGAAATTTGTCAGAGAACATACATATTAATTCAACAAGATTATTTGAATAGTACTTAATAAAAATTAAATAAATTCGATTATAGAGAAGCAAACATAACTCTATAAGAGGCATTATTATAATTCATTTATTTGATTAAATTGATAATTTTAGAATAACTTGAGAATATTAAAATTTTATTATAATATCTTAAATTTTATAAAAAACAATAAAGAATAGAAAAGTACTAAAGAATTTTTTAAGATTTAAAACATTGCAAAGAGTAAGGAGATATAATACAATTAATTTTAGCTTGAATAATTCTACTCATCAAATCATCATCTTTAAATTAATATCAACTACTCTATTTAATCCATTAGCTTCTCTAATGATGAGCATCCCATCTTAATTAATCTCTTCTAAGATACCCTCACAAACATATTTCTACTCTTAATTTACAAATACACACTTTTCTCCCTTCTTATAAAGTTATTAATTAATGGGCTTCTAAAAGTATTTAAATCCATTCTCATTAAGTAATTTTAAATTGTGCACAATCTTTTCTTTCAATGATTAATATAATTCTTCAACATTAATTTATTTATTTAGAATTGCTTCTATATTTATTCCGTTTTCAATATTCCAATCAACATTTATCCCTACTCCCATAAAAATGACTATATCTTACCCTGTTATTTCAGACTAGACCAATATTCCAGCTTGTTTCTTATCCAAAAAATATATATCATTAAACCATTTAATACTTCCATTCAAATCATATAAATTATTATAAACCTACAATACAGAGTGAGCAACGATTAGTGGAATTGTATTTATATATTAAAAATTCTTAAAATACGGAAATATTATGGTGAATAATATATTTCTTTTTGATTTGCTTTCCCATTTTTTAGTATGCTATCCTCTCCCATCAGTCTAAGACAAGGCCCTTATTGCAGTTATCTAGTCTTTAAAGAGTGAATTATAATGTTAAGTGGCATAGGTTTAGGTGGAATCAATTTCGTCAAATAATATATCAACAATTTATTTATTATTCATAATTATATATATTATTAAATATATGAATATATCAAGTTTATCATTTATATTTGAACAATTATGATTTCATACTATGATATTTTAGAATCGGCTTTTCAACTGGAAAAACATTGTATTATGGACTAATTGGATTATATCCCTCAAAAGGTTGAACTTCGGAAACAATTGTTTTTGCCTTGGGTTCTTCACTTAAATAAAACCGTCCATATTTCTATGAAGAGGGCAAGTAATCATCTAATTTATTATCGCTTAAATTCATTGGATCTGATCTTAAGAGATATCTCTGACTATATTTCCCATATCTATTGATGTGGGCTAAATAAACAAAAAAACTATACCTTAAGTGGGAATAGGATTGTTAGGTTTGAAATCATGAACTTACTAAAATATGAGTTATTATTTACTTTATGATGATATATTTTAGGTAATACTAAACTTTAGGACTCCTTTATCAATTATTCTTCATTATCTTTATCTTTGCCTACTTCCATCTCTGCGTTCTTCCATGTCATATCAATCTAAACTTTGTGATTTTAATGCTCTCAATTTATTTAAAATATATACCTTGATTCAGCTTTTTTTAATAATTTCCCTCGCCGTCATACATTATGAATTTCGCCATAGGTCTTGACTTATGTGAATAATAATAAATACTCCAAGAATTTTTGTTTTATGTTCTTTGAATGTTCCATCTTACTTTGCCTTATTGATTTCAAACTATTCAATGCATTTCCCACAACTTTTGTGTTTATCCAATTTATCCATTATTAAATAAATTATAATAAGATGATAGAAAAATAAACAAATCTTTAACTATTTAGATAATTATCACTATTTATAACCATAATTTTCAGTTGAACTATCATCAAATTTTAATTATTAACACATCAAATAATCTTAAATTATAATATTTATCTCTACAAAAATAATGAGTTTTTAATTTAATATTGAGAGTTATGGATTTCAAATAAGTTGATTCGATAATGACATTTAGAATTTTTAATGTTCCATTTTTTGTATAGAATTCAATAAAGACTTAATTTAATTCATAAATTAATTGATGTGGAAATAAATCAAAGCTCTAATATTACTCGTATTCTTTATGTTTTTTGTTCTTAATTCCTTCTTTTACACACCCCCAACTAGAAATTATACCAAATAAGAAGTTGAAGAAATAAATAAATAAGAAAGGGGTATTACAATCAATAGATTGCCTTAGAAAATAAATAAGCTAATAATAATACATCAATTAATGATCATAATTAGAGCATGATTTAAAACTCATCCATGAATGAAACAGTTTCAGAAGATGAAGAGATATAATTTGAGTTTCCATCAAATGATTAAGGCGAGAAAATTAATAGTGAAGAAGAATAGCTTAATATAACAGAAAGAGAGAATATATAAGAAGATTTTATTGAAAGCGATGCTGAGAGAAAAACCGATGTCATTAAAACTGAAGAATTTGAATATTATTATGAATACATTTACGAAGAAACAATTGCTAACAATATTGCTGAAGAAAACCTGATAGCCTAGGAGGATTCTTAACTTGATTTTATGGACTAAATAATCTAAACAGATTAAAATCAATAAGAATAATAGTAACCTCAGAATGAAAGTTTATTAAATATATCAGACTCCAATATAAAATAGGATTCANATACCTTAAGTGGGAATAGGATTGTTAGGTTTGAAATCATGAACTTACTAAAATATGAGTTATTATTTACTTTATGATGATATATTTTAGGTAATACTAAACTTTAGGACTCCTTTATCAATTATTCTTCATTATCTTTATCTTTGCCTACTTCCATCTCTGCGTTCTTCCATGTCATATCAATCTAAACTTTGTGATTTTAATGCTCTCAATTTATTTAAAATATATACCTTGATTCAGCTTTTTTTAATAATTTCCCTCGCCGTCATACATTATGAATTTCGCCATAGGTCTTGACTTATGTGAATAATAATAAATACTCCAAGAATTTTTGTTTTATGTTCTTTGAATGTTCCATCTTACTTTGCCTTATTGATTTCAAACTATTCAATGCATTTCCCACAACTTTTGTGTTTATCCAATTTATCCATTATTAAATAAATTATAATAAGATGATAGAAAAATAAACAAATCTTTAACTATTTAGATAATTATCACTATTTATAACCATAATTTTCAGTTGAACTATCATCAAATTTTAATTATTAACACATCAAATAATCTTAAATTATAATATTTATCTCTACAAAAATAATGAGTTTTTAATTTAATATTGAGAGTTATGGATTTCAAATAAGTTGATTCGATAATGACATTTAGAATTTTTAATGTTCCATTTTTTGTATAGAATTCAATAAAGACTTAATTTAATTCATAAATTAATTGATGTGGAAATAAATCAAAGCTCTAATATTACTCGTATTCTTTATGTTTTTTGTTCTTAATTCCTTCTTTTACACACCCCCAACTAGAAATTATACCAAATAAGAAGTTGAAGAAATAAATAAATAAGAAAGGGGTATTACAATCAATAGATTGCCTTAGAAAATAAATAAGCTAATAATAATACATCAATTAATGATCATAATTAGAGCATGATTTAAAACTCATCCATGAATGAAACAGTTTCAGAAGATGAAGAGATATAATTTGAGTTTCCATCAAATGATTAAGGCGAGAAAATTAATAGTGAAGAAGAATAGCTTAATATAACAGAAAGAGAGAATATATAAGAAGATTTTATTGAAAGCGATGCTGAGAGAAAAACCGATGTCATTAAAACTGAAGAATTTGAATATTATTATGAATACATTTACGAAGAAACAATTGCTAACAATATTGCTGAAGAAAACCTGATAGCCTAGGAGGATTCTTAACTTGATTTTATGGACTAAATAATCTAAACAGATTAAAATCAATAAGAATAATAGTAACCTCAGAATGAAAGTTTATTAAATATATCAGACTCCAATATAAAATAGGATTCATAATAGAGCGCTGGAGATTCAAACGAAAACTCTTAAGATTCTGGTTAATAAAATGCATAATTAAATTAAACTATGACTCAAAATGCTCAAGAAGTTGAGGAAGTAGAAAATTTACAAAGTTAAGAAGAAGAAAATTAGAAATTTGTGGAAGAAGAAAATTATTATATAATTGTAGAAGAGGAAGAATAAGAAGTAGAAGTCGTCATTCACAAAGAGAATGAAGAACAATCTTAAGCAATATAAAATGAGATTATTAATAACAATGATGAATAAATTATTGCAGACCCAATAGCACCTGAATTCAATAGAATAAATTAATCTATCAATTAAGAACAAAATTATTCATAAACAATTTATTCTAATTAAACAAAACCCTCTTAATAATACTCAAACTAAATTCTAAGTCTATATTTTGATTTAATATGTTATAAGGATCAAAAAATTATTGAATAGGAAGATATGACTTCATCTAGCATATCAGAAACATATATCCCGACTTAAAACATTAATCCAATATTATTGGTTCATACTATAATATTAACTATAATGCTTATTTTAATTTCTATCACTGATAAACAAAATATAAAAATAAAAAAAGAACCGATTCAACCTACAAGCGTGTCAGAATTATCTGAATTGAATGAGTATATGGCCATGATGATTAATGGATTAGAATAATAATATAATCTGATATCATAAAGTTAAGAGCAATTAGCATATTAACTAGAACTTTTAGAGTAATGAAGGAGTTAAATAAACCTTTAAATGAATATAATATAAGTTCATTTTTTTATACATTTACATTTTACCAAAATATGAAGTTAATTGAGTATAAGTTCATCTAAGGACAAAAATATTAGAAATTACTCAATTTTTTCTCAAAGGCTAATAGAGACTTCTTAAATCAATCTAATTCAATATAATAGATACTTTATTATTTGATTCTGACTTCTTTGTATTTTATTCCTTTTTTATTAAAAAAGTAATTAATGAATAATTTTTTAATAATAATACATAATAATACATAATTAAAAAACTTTTATATAATGTATGCAATTTCATTCTGGGGATTTTGAGATATTTCTTTTAAAAAATTTAGAATGGGTGGATTAAGAATTTTGATTGTCATGACTTAAAGTTAATGGTTATCCATTTTTATGATATTTTAAAAAAACAGGAATTTCATTTATAGGCGGTAATTCATTATTGAAATAATCTACAAGTATTTCATCATCACTATGCTATTGTTTGAAATTCGATTTTTAAGTATGAAAGCTACCCTTAGCATGAATCAGTTTAAGATTTATATTTCCAATACTGGTTCTAAATTTTTCTCTAAAAAAAGTATGCTACAATGCTTATGCAGCTTTGATTCTTAATTTTGGGTCTTCATGTAACATTTCTGATAGTAGGTTTTAAGCAGTTTATGGAATATGGATTAATGATAAGTTCTAAATATTGAATCGACATTTTCTATTCGCCGATAATATTTCAGTTTAGGTTTCTCCTTGAAACAGATCTTTTCTTGATAATCTTAGAAATTATAATTTAATTTACAATTTATAGAATACGCATCCAACCGAAAAAATATCACTTTCTAACCCATATTTTTCATTTTTCAGATTGATTATCTCCGGAGCCACGAATCCAGGAGTTCCACATTTTTTAAGTTCTTTATTTGGTCCAAGCTCTACAGAAAGACCAAAATCAACAATTTTCAGATCTATTTTTTTCTCTTGAATATTTAATATAATATTCTCTGGCTTTATATCTCTATGTATTATATTTAGAGAATGCAAATACGCAACACCTTATAGTATTTCCAAAAGAATACTCTAAATGATTCTTACATTTAATTAATGTTTTAATTCTTTTAAGTATGAATTTAAACTTTGGCCTTGGCAATACTCTAAAACAATATAGTAGGTTCCATCTCCAACATAGAACTCTTCAAAACGAGGAAGATTAGAGTGGTTTAGCTGTTTAAGGATATTCAATTCATTGTACAATCCATTCTAATTTATAAACACTTCAGTTGTACCATTTTTTCAACACAATTTTAAATTGTCTCCTTTGTAATACATTTTGTGACAAAATTATTATTTTTATCAAACTTTCTAACAACCTAATAAACTCGACTGTTGCTACCACTTGCCAAAAGCTCTGTGGCTTCATAAAAGTCTTATATTTTAGTGAAAGAAACAAATTTGGAAAGGATCTTCTTTAATATTAGTAAGTCACTTTGTTTAGCATGAAACCATTTAAATTTTTTTGGTTATGTGTGAAAGCCAAAAGCATTTTCTTTAGGTGTTAATTGCCATCTAATCTCTGAGGACCAGTTTAATGGAAAGAAGTATTTAGGAGTACCGGGTTTCTTGGGCTATAGAGAGATTTAGATGGAGAATTACATTTGTTAAGGTGAGGGCATTTTCGGTGAACTTGATCTCATAAATTTGATCACCAATCAGATGTTTACGAAAACAGATGATGGGTTCAACCATTTACATAATAAATAAATTAAATTTCAGAATCTATTATATTCATATGTGATACTATTAAACTTCTGGAAAGAATAAATTTTGTATTTTTGTTGTTGTTTAAATCTTTTTTTGATGTTAAGAAAAAACTAAAAATGTTAGGTTTTTTTTAATAATTTTTCACTTTTTATTCAAGTTCTTATACAGCAATTTAATAAGTCGCCTTTAATATATAAAAAAATCTAAAGGATTGCTCTAAAATATAAAAAAAATAATATTTCTTCTTCAGATAAGGATGAGTATTTTTATTATATTGTTTATATAAAAATAATAAGAGGGTATATATTAATATAAAGAATCTTCAATAAACATATTTGATATTGAGTACAATGACGTCAAATATCCTTTCATCAATGTCAGTTATGAAGACACGTACTAATTCCTCACTACCAGGTAAAACTCTGATCTTGAATTAAACAATTTCATTAGGTCCTGTAGAGATACTAGTATCAATAATCTAATCAAGAATAGTGAGTAATATTTACTTTGACAAATTCACTAGAAGATACAATATTATATTAGGTAGTATAATTGACTTAGTTTTTGTAATTGACTTAATGACGAGATTCTCTTCCATCTATGCACCTAAAAGATTAATAAATGGATACCTCAAATCATAAGTAGCACTTGGGGGTTAGGGTTCAGCATGGACATTCACTAACCAAGAATAAATTAGTTCTTGAGAGTGAATGTCTACTCCATTTAATTTAATTAGATGTTTTCCATCTTACAGAGCCAAAATATTAATAGGAACTAAATTAATTTTACCAGGTAACATTGTAATTTCTGAATCAAAGGGTTTAACAAAGGTTATCATTTTATTGGATGATGTCATTTTGATAATACGAGTAATATCACACGGAAATGTTATTTTAGTGCATACTCTTTAACCTAATGGAACTTCAATGTCTATTGTGGATAAACTATAAACTTCTATCTTCCAATTGGCTATTATTTTATGTTGATATTGATCTTAATACAGAAGGATATTGAAGATTTTAACACTTTATGGTTCTCCTATCCTAAGGTTCAATCGTATTGAATTGAAATCAGATGACCATTCAATCATCACATCAGGATCAGTGATATGCACATGAGGCTACTATTGTAAGGGTTAGTTGAATAGTCTAGGTATTATAAGTCTAGTTTAACGATTTTCTCTTTCGTAAAACCTAAGCACATGATCTATTGGCTATTAATGAGGCTCAACAATTATACGTAATCCATCCATCATCTTACCATCTTATTATAATAAAATTGTTATGTGACGAGATTACATATACTTTTTGATATATTCAGGAGTTCTCTCATGATCATCAACTCTATAATCATATTACCTAAAACTTATAAACTTAAACAACAAAGTAACTTCCTAATTAGGATCTAAAATGAAATAATATTAAGTTTTCCCTTAATTTTCTTTCATTCTAATTAAATCATAATTTTCAGGTTCTGGATATTTATTATTAGTAACCCAATATTTCCATTCAGCTGGATTACCAATTAAAAAGAATTCTTAATATTCTAACATTCTACTTTCTGGATCCTCTATATTTACTGTGAATTATTCTGGTTTTGGATGAGTATTTTTAAATTAAAGAGGAACTATTTCACACTTACCATAAAATGAATGAACTACTTTCTCATTCTATAAAAATCCTTACATAATTGTTCTTACTAATGTTGGTTTTTTAATTTCTTTATATTTTAACACTTCATTTAATGATCTTTATTGGCTCTGTTTATTTTTAATCATCTCTTATAAATTTTATTGTTTGATCTTTTTTATCCTGTCTTAAATACTATTTCCATCAAAAGCTTATGCAGGAACATCCAGTCTATTCACTGGCTTTTCTGATACTAATTTCTTTTTCTGAAATCCATTATAAGTGTTTTCCAAAGGAACTGTTTTACTCATGTCTTGTTAACCAATTTTGCCAATATTTTTAATGACAATCTACAATGTCCCTTTGACTTTCTTCGATTGAGGGTCAAAAATTTCAACATCAGCCATTATTTATGCATTCTGTTTACCTCCTCTCATTATACCTCTCAAAGGTATTCTAACACTACCAAAGAGAAATAAACTCTCACTATCCCAAATATCCAAAATCAAGTTTTTATTGAATAAATACCTTGCAAAATCTTAATCCAAATTTGCATATCTTTATAAAGATGCTTCAATGTTAAATTTACAACTGAAAATCTCATTATTATACAATAGCCTTAACGGATTGCCATTCTCTAAATTATATTTGAAATTTCTTTCATCATTATAGTATTCTAAATTTAAGAACGGTGATTTAAAAGTCTGCAAATCATAGAATATAATGCCTATTTAAACTGACTTACAAATAGGATATGGTCCCAAGATTTATTTCATAGACACTGGTTATATTACAATTATTTGGTCCTTCCTTTCATCTTGCATTTCAAGTGCCATCAATCTATTTTCTTAATCAATTGATGTTGGATCATCGACCAAAGCAGTAACATCTGTACGAGTTATTGGTTTCAAAGTGGCTGAAGGTACAGGATATGCATAAGAATCTATGGGTTTTATAACAGTATTTTAAGGCCTTGCCTCAGCCAAAACCACTGGAGGAGCAGCAGTCCGATCAACTACTTTCTAATCCTTAATCAATTTTTCAAGTCCTTCGAATTGTCGAGCTTAAGTAAATTACAATAATCTATTTTCTTCTCTTAATTTTTCAATTGCCTATAAATATTCTTATTATTTCTAAGGATCTGAAGTTTACTAAATTGCTAATCTCCTCAATCTTTCATTTTCCTCTTACAATCTCAATAATTGCTATTCAAAATCCTTCAATTTTACTTATGTTCTTATGTCTACATCTGATCCCCTTACTTATTCTTACTTATTTTAGTACTATTATTAAACAGGTTAGTGTTAATTCAAATTAGATTACTAAGGAATTTATTAATATCCTTGCTATTATTAAGGATGTTGTTATTATTACTAGGCTGCTCCCATGTATAAATCTTAAATTTAAAATCCACCGCCAGATAGATTAAGACTCCCTTTCAATTTAATAGATTAGTCGGGATTCTAAAAGGTTACAAGAGGTCTCCCATCTAATGTTTTTCCTGGTCCTACAATGAAGTCTTCCTCCACCATCTCGTCAGCACCAAATTTGTTATTAATGTAAATAGGAATCCATCCAAGTGTTAATTACATAGTCTCTTTAGTTAGATTTGATACTAGAAACATAGCTTCATATTCTAATTAAGCTACTAACATGCCTGAATTAACAGTAGGATCAGTTGAGCAAACATTGTTTATATCAATAACTCCGTGATATGCTAATTATTTGTATTGGATTTGCTTCTGATCAACAAATTCATTAACTAGCATTCTTGTTTCTCCAAGAGGCACAAAATTGTTTGTTCCTCTAGTATTTATAAATGTCCAGCCATTATGAAATGCAACAATCAATCTTTTATTTATTATCTAAATATCACCTTTATAGTCATCAGGTGTCCTGTATTTATATGTCCTATATTTCTATACTTATCTGTATATATCTGCTTCCATTGTATCAGGTATTAGCACTTATAATTTACTCATGAATACAACCATACTTCGCGATAATTCAAAATCTCCAGCCACAAAACTCTTCTTAAGTCCTGGCAATTCATCCCCCAAACCACATAAGGCATTTTCTGGTGCCAAATGCATGCTTATTTGAAATTCTTCACTCTGCACTATTTCACATGTTACAGAGATACCAGATGACTCAAAATTCACTTATTAACCTAATAACAAAATTCTTGGACTTCCCTTTCTAAAATTGAGCTTTGTTGGCTAGGTAGTAATAGTTAATGCTGCAAGTTCACACCAACCCAAATGCATGCGTTTCAATACCAAATCTTATTGAGATTCAAATGCCTATATTTCCAGAATTACCAATAAAGGCATATCCTTATTATTGATAATTCTAGTGTGATAATAGATCGGTATGATTGGATGTTCATAATTTACTCCGTCGGGTCCAAATTCCACATTTAGTCGAGGACTATTGTATGTTCTTCCAAAAAAGCACTTTTCTCCTTGTGAGTTTTAAATAAAAAAGTTAGCAGCTACTGAGAATTGTAAATTCAGCACGGGATTCTAAGGACGTCTGAATCCTCCAATTCTAGACACAATCAACTTATAAGCCTTTGAATCTAAGCCCATTTGAATTGGAATTGAGGAGGGTAGACTCTTATGCATCTTCTGAAATTTTAGAAACTTCTTTATTGAGTTTATGTCTTCGGTTGACATTAATATTATTGTTTGAAAATAAAAAATATCATACGTAAAATTATATTTATTCATACTTCTTATCTGTAAATGTAGATTGAATAGTCTCATCAATATACGAAGAATTGTAATTGTGATAAGTTATACAATTTATTTATTAATTAAGTTCATCTATAATACTAAATATATCATTATTTTGAATCTTCATTATCCCAGATGTTATCCCCTTCAAATACCTCTCCTTATTCTTAATTTTCCTCTTCCATTGCTAATCTAACGTATTCTTGATATGCAAATCTATCCCAATCAGTAAAATCTGGATGATCAACGATGTCATTTCTTACTTGAAATGGGTCTCTATTTTCATAAGCAATTAATTTATTTAAATTGGTTAAGAAATTGAAAAACACTCCACAAACAGTCAGATTCTATTTGAAATGGCTTAATTTAAAGAGGATATCATTTTCAGGATGTAGAAGATCGACCATCTGACAAACAAAGTCATGAAATAAAATGGGTTCATGATTTAAATAATCCATTCTCTATTTCAGTTCCTCATAAAAGTAATCCATCTCGAATCCTGTAATGATTCCGTTGTCATCCAAATCAATAACCTTGAACCAATATTCTATTGATTATATAGTAGTCTTATCTTCTTCGCATAATATGAAGTAAATGAAATCCTCATAGGACATCTTCTAATCTA